TCATCAAAATATTATATTAGGATTAGCTAAAGATGAACAATCATAAATAAAGAGAGGTATCAAAGGTTGGTTGGAAATTAATTTACATATTCATACACTACCTAGTAAAACTTATGTTTTAAAGGTGGTTAGTTAGTTTATACACAACCTAAGAGAAATACATCTACATGTAGTCATAGAGTATTATATTATCTCCAAGGATCATTAGGAAAAAGAATTTTATTTAAAAGGGGTGGTATATCTTTACTTGAAATGTATAAAAACACTAATTATGAACGATCTATGATAGACATAAGATCCACCACATGATACTAGATGTTTATTTGAAGAAAAAAATTACTTGGAGAAGTAAGAACCAAACTATGATGGCTAGGTCAAGTATAGAAGCATAATTCAAGACTAGGGCACAAGGGATATGTGAAGTGTTGTGAGTGAAGATCATTTTTATAGACATAAACATTGAATTGTAGAATCTAATCATATTATATTGCACATAATGTTATACAACAGACTGAATCAAGCACATTAAAATTGATTGTCAATCTAGTGATTAGATAGCTGACTTCTTTACCAAGGGGCCAAGTGCTAAAGTATTTCAAAATTTTATATGTACGTTGAGAATGAATGATACACATTCACCAACTTGAGGGAGAGTGTCAAACAACACCAATACTTCTTAACATATTATTTTTGTCAATAGTTTATTTTTGTACTTAGGCCCACACTATTTGGGCATATTTGAGTTCATTTCCTTTCTTGTACAAATTAGACTAGTTTAATTTAATATAGGTGTGGCCAAATTGTATCATTCAGGACTAGTATAAATAAATTAGTCTCATATCATTTGAACTTGAGAATGTTAGGTTATGGTTTAGCTTGATTTCATTTTTCCTCTTCTCCATTTCTTAGTGTAATGACCACAAAGCCTTGAGAAGATCAAGATCAAATAGAGTTCTTGATAATACCAACCGGTGACCTTTTAGGTTGTCACCTTGTGCTCTAAATTTTTAACACAGGAAACTCAAGAGCTTTGTTCACACTTCACCTTTTCTTAGAATTTTTGCAACTTTCTTGCCTTCTTCAGCATTCATATGTATTTGAATTGACATATGAGTTTTTCAATTATAAACAAAAATCAGAATTAACTGATAAAGAATGAAATTAAATCTTATGCATCTTATCATTTTATGAAGACTTAGGGTTGATATCAAAGGTGAGGAAACACTAGTATTAATGCTCATGAAGGTCTTTCCTTGGGATGATATCAATTGTATTGATCAATTGTTCTCACTAATTGCATGTGGTGGTGAAAACATTAGTGATCATGTTTAAGAGGGTTTTTAAGGTGGTTAAGTTGCTCTTAAGATAGTGATAATAATATCTTGATGAGAGTTATAGGTCCTCTTTTGACACTCCAATGTTTTTAGTTGTTAACTTATTATTTTTGAGATCTTTAAAAACTACATTATGTATCATAAGTAGTGATTTAAATACTAATATAATTCTTCATTAAAAAATTATGAAGTCATATCTTCCTTTAAATGGAGAGGAGATTCAAGCATAGAAAGATGAAGTGGGGTCTTCCTCTTGCTTTTCCATTCCTAGTTGCATTGGTGAAGACCCCAATTGTAAACTCCTAATGAATATCTATTCTCAATGGAAATAATTATGTTAGTATCAACTAGTGTATGACATAGGTTTAACATTAATGATGTCATGTGTTTTTACCTCACCCACTTCTAAATACTTCAATGGTGTTGGTTATAGTCATCTATGCCTTATCTCGAAGACACTATATCAATGCTGGGTCTCATTTGTGTAAATTAATTATTAATTAAACATTGTCAACTTTGCACTACTTTTAAAATGCAATGGCTTACTCTAGTCTAGGACACAAAAGAGGAATGAATGAAGTTTCTTCATTCTTGCTTTTTGCATGTTCTGCTTGGCTTTTTCTTTGGTCCAAGACAAAGATCGACTACTAAAATAACCATATAGAATGCTTTTAGTTAGATACTTAGTCATGGAGGCTTTACCTAGATATCCTATATCATAACCTATTTCGCAGCAAAAGATAAATAGATGAAGATATCTCACAAGAAATAAGGAGCATATAAATAATAAAATTTCAAATATAAGGTTTTAAAGCAAAAAAATAATATCAGAAGCCATCTTGAACTTTATCAAGATCTGATAAATAGTTTGAAACTGAGACATCCATAAATAAAGAGATTGTAAATCTAAATGGCCTTGTAGACTAATCCCTAATTGTGTTGATATGAATTATTAGATTTGGACTAAGTCTATTGCTCGGTTTAGACTAAGATGTGCCAAAAGATAGAAGAAAAGAAGAAAAGGAATAAAAGTTATGACATATGAATTACCATACTTATTAGTTAATTAACAAATTCATTGATTTATTCCACTTTGGTTTTGTGTTAAGTGGTTTCAATTGTATGTTGAAGAATAAAGTTTAGGTATCATTTAAAGTTAATTTTTTTGATTCATGTTTCAGATCAATACACTGTGAGGAAAATAAGATGAACATTTTAGAGGCCAAGAGCAGAAGCCTTTTGAGTTGCATTGGATAAAAATGGAAGATGCACAAAATTTCTATTACTGGTACTTACCATTTTTTATGGTCGTTTTCAATGCAACTGACATCAGGTTTTAGTCCTGGATAAAAATGAGAATTAATTTCCAGGTAACTATATTAAATGCTTTAGTCCAAACAGTACCCCAAAGCTTAATGGTTGATGTCAACGACAAGGGAATTAGAGTTTCAAAGGTTTGAAAATTTTCTTTTCATATGATATAAAATACATCGATCAACCTTTTTCATTAATGGCCGATGGTGTTGGGGACAGCACCGACGTGCCCGACAAGATTCATCGGCGGTGATTACACTACTCTTTGATTGATGCAAACAGATAATCTCTGTCATTGGGAAGTAACGTTACCGAAAGGGTGCACAAAGTAATATGAGCAGCTGGGCTTATCTATTAAAATAAACATTTTAGTCCCCATTTCGTCTTTAGAAACTTGAAGAAGCATCAGAAGAGCCTCAGGTTTTCTTTTGATCTTGAGAGATTATACTTATCACTTGAATGCCTACATGAATTTTCTTGATGTTGACTGCTGGCTCAACCTATGGCTTGAACATGAAAACAAAGCGGGTAGGAGAGAGTGGGCCACAAGCGCTCCCAAAACGGCTGGAGATGGTGAGTGGCCATCAAAGGAAGATTGCAGTCAGCGCACATTTATGGGGGATGTTGGACATCTGCACAAACAGATGATTAATACCTTATATGCCTGGACGGGGAGGCCCTGGGGCCATGCAGAGCCACAAGCTCCGCTTCGTGGTGCACCTCCGGCGCTCCTGAAAGTCCGACGACGTCTTTATGGCGGCGGTGGAGCAGCGGCTGATGGATGCCTACGAACCGGAGGCGTTTCCGGAGGATGATGATGACCGTCGACGGGTGCTTCATGCTGGAGGTGCTGCCGACGGCCACCGCCGCCGCCGCTGCCGCCACGCAGTTCGCCCTCACCAACACTATCATATTCAGAGCCCAGGGGATGCCCTACACCGTCCCCTTACACCAAGCGCGACGTGCCCGTGCTCGAGAACCAGCTCTCCTTCATCGTCCTCCATACGCTCATCTCCGTCGAGCACGGCAAGTATCTCTCTCTCTCTCTCCCTCTCTCCCTCTCTCCCTCTCCGGCTCTCTCTTTGCTCTCTGTCTCTCTGATCCATCTCTCCTCCTCTCTCTTTAACATTTCTCATGCCTTCGGCTTGGCTCGGGTTGCGTTTGTCCAGGTCTTGTACGGTGAGGAACGGCCACCCCGATGTGTCCCCTTCTCTCTCGGGTTTGACTGCTGCGTCTACGCAGAAAAGTAAACGGTCTTCAGAACAAAGGTCTGTTTGGGCCTACTAAAAAGTCCAAGCATCGGGATTTCGACCTTACAAGATTCTCACATCTAAGAGGGAGAGAGAGAGAGGGAGGTGCGACTTATCAATTTCCGTGACGTGTTGCACCTACCCAGTTGCGCTTTGCGTTCATCGTCGGCAACGTGTGGGCCCGCATCTCGAGCGGATATTTTTCCACTCGAGCCGCCATCTTATTCCCCCTTACGTGCGCCACACGTCTTCGCCCTCCAGCCCATCTCGGCCCATTAGCGGACCCCTTCCGGAGCGAGAGAGACAGAGAGAGAGAGAGAATCTCACGTGGCTTCGGACCAGGACAAGGCGGCCCCCGTGCCCCCGTGCCGCCGTGCCCTCCCACGGCACGCCACCGCCGCCACTCCGCCGCCGACGGCCGCCCGACGCGGAGAGGGGAGAATCGAGCTATCTTATATTTTCCGGATGTTTCTGGTGGAGCGTGCGAGAGGGAGAACGAAGGGTAGGGTGCTACTGTCGGCGCACACGGCCTCCCATCGAACAATCATTAGGCTGTTAACGCAGTCGAGAGTAGCTGATTAGACGTAGTTACCAAGTATTAATAGCGATCAAAGCCCAAGTTTGACTTTGACCTGCAGAGTCCCGGCGACGGCGGCGGTGGCGGCGAATCGCAATTTGGCGGGCGCTAGGAAGGAGCAGCTCCGAGGATTCTAGGTCTTCGGCCGTCGTTCGCGCACGTGGCTTCCGTTATCTTCGACACCTGGCATGTGGTAAACGTGTCCGCCGCTTCCTCCTCCCGGACCGGTTCCTTCCTCTGCACCTCCTCCCCTTGTCTCTCTCTCTCTCTCCACCGTCGTCCTGTCCGAAGTCTACAGCTGCGACCGCCTCTCCTCCCTCCGCTCCCCGTTTCCCCCCGCGGGAAGTCAAAGGCGATAGGGGGAAGGGGAAGAGATCGGCGATGGCGACGTCGGGATCGTTCTTATAGAGAAAGGAGCGGCCAGCCGGGGGAACCAGAGAGAGAGAAAGAGGGGGGTGAAACCAGAGAGCGCCATCGCCAAAAAGAGGCCTACCTAAAATTCCTCTCCTTCTCTGATTCGCCGCCATGGAGGTGCTGTCCGCCCCTTGTTGCTCCTATTCCTCTCCTTCTTCCTCGTCTTCTTCCACCAGGGCGGCAGGATTCTCACGGCGGGGCAAGCCGCCTCCGTTCTCGCTCCTCGGTGGTGCCCCCGCCACCGCCTCCGCGCGCTTTAGGACCGCGGTGGTGGACTGCCACGGCCGCACCAGGGTCCTCCCGGCGTACCCGCTGCGGCCCTCCCACCCGCTATCCTCCTCCGCCGCCGCCTCGGGGCGCCATGGGGCCGCGCTCCTGCGCCGGCGCGCCGGCTGCGCTCGGCGGGTCCGGCGGCCCTCTGCCATCTCCGCCGTGTTCGAGCGCTTCACGGAGAGGGCGATCAAGGCGGTGATCTTCGCGCAGAAGGAGGCGCGCGCTTTGGGCGGGGACATGGTCTTCACCCAACACCTCCTCCTGGGGCTCATCGCCGAGGACCGCTCCCCCGAGGGGTTCCTCAGCTCCGGCATCACCATCGACGCCGCCCGCCGCGCCGTGCAGACCATCTGGGCCGACGCCGCTGGCGGCGCCCCGGCCGGCGGGGGGTTGCAGGCCACCGACGTGCCCTTCTCCATCAGCACCAAGAGGGTCTTCGACGCCGCCGTGGAATACTCCCGCAGCATGCGCTGCAACTTTGTCGCCCCTGAGCACATCGCCATCGGCCTCCTCACTGTCGACGACGGCAGCGCCGGCCAGGTCCTCAAGAGGTGACCGCCCCCCTTCCTCTTTCCCTCCCCAATCCCAATCCCAATCCCAATCCCCTCCTGAAAACTCGCTGATCTCGCGGCGCTTCCTTTGAATGGCAGCTTGGGAGCGGACATCAACAATCTGGCCTCGGTGGCGCTGTCCAGGCTCCAGGGGGAGCTCGCGAAGGAGGGGCGGGACCCCTCGGCGGCGGCGCCGCCGCCAAGGCTGCGTGAGAGATCCCCCTCCAACAAATCCGCCGCCTCGAGGACGCCGGAGAGGACGAAAGGTGGGTGGCGGCTCGCCGGAGTCCTTGCCCCAAAATAATTTCCGTTTTTCGATCCGCTTGAAGATCGATCTCATCTCTCTCCGTTCTTCCTCCTGCAGAGAAGAGCGTGCTGGCCCAGTTCTGCAACGACCTCACCGCCCAGGCCGCCGACGGCTTTATCGACCCCATCATCGGCCGGGAAACCGAAGTCCAGCGGATCGTCCAGATCCTCTGCCGGCGGACGAAGAACAACCCCATCCTGCTCGGCGAGCCAGGCGTCGGCAAGACCGCCATCGCCGAGGGGCTCGCCATCCGCATCGCCGACGGCGAAGTCCCCATCTTCCTCTCGGTACGCTGCCGCCGCCCCTCCCTTCCCTCCTCCAATCACTTCTGAAGCTCACCTCGCCGACCTGCGCGCATCTCCAGGGGAAGCGGATAATGTCGCTGGACATCGGCTTGCTCATGGCTGGCGCCAAAGAGAGGGGAGAGCTCGAGGCCCGCGTCACCGGCCTGATCAGCGAGGTTAAGAAAGCAGGTGGAGAGAGAAACCTCCGATCGCCGGCCCTCCAATTCCTGTTCCACCCCCTCGCCACTCGTCGTCTCTTTCCACCGCCCCCATCTCACCGGAAACCTGAAAACTGCAGGCGACGTGATCCTCTTCATCGACGAGGTACACACCCTCATCGGCTCTGGCACAGTCGGAAGGGGAAGCAAGGGATCAAACCTCGACATTGGCAATCTCCTGAAGCCCGCCCTCGGCCGGGGCGAGTTGCAGGTGAGTCCGCCGCCGCCGCTCAGCCAATAAAAAGTATACTCATATATAGAGAGATTGTTCTTGACGATGGGGTCTCGGTGGTCCTGGCCAGTGCATTGCCTCGACCACCATTGATGAGCACCGACTACACTTCGAGAAGGACAAGGCTCTGGCGCGCCGCTTCCAGCCGGTGCTGATCAACGAACCCACGGAAGTAAACCCATCGTCTCCCTCTTCCCGTCGCCTCCTCTTCTAGGGTTGGATCGTTCTTTCGTTCATTCGGACGAGGAGATGAGTCTCTGCGTTTTTGTTCCTCAGGAGGACGCCGTGAAGATCCTCGTCGGCCTGCGGGAGAAGTACGAGGCGCACCACCGATGCCGCTTCACCATGGAGGCCATCGACGCCGCCGTCTACCTCTCCTCGAGGTATATCCCCGACCGGCAGCTCCCCGACAAGGCCATCGACCTGATAGACGAGGCCGGGAGCCGCGCCCGGATGGACGCCTTCAAGAGGAAGAAGGAGCAGGCCACCTCCGTCCTTTCCAAGCCGCCGGAAGAGTACTGGCAGGAGATCAAGGCCGTCCAGGCAATGCACGAAGTGGTAATGACCCTCCCCCCATTCCCCGCCGGCGATTCTCCGGCGAGCGAGCGACTGGGCGACGGAGCTCTCTGACGGGAAGTCTGCCCGTAGATAACCAGCCGCGATTGCCTGCTCTGCGCGCAGGTGATTGCAAACCAGATGAAGTATTCCGCGGACGCCAGTGGCAAGGAGGAGCTCGGGGCCACGGCCGACGTGAAGCTCGTCTCGGAGCCCTCGTTCCCCTCGCCCTCTGACGACGACGAGTGAGCCTCCCCTTCCTCTGGTTTCAGAAGCCCGAGCGAGCTCCTCGCCGGTTTCTCTTCCGGGCTTACAGACGGAGCTCCGTTCTTTCTCTGCACCCCAGAGTCGTCGTCGTGGGAGCGGAGGAGATCGCGGCCGTGGCGTCGTTGTGGTCGGGTATCCCGGTCCAGCAGCTGACCGCCGACGAGAGGAAGACCCTGGTGGGCCTGGAGGAGCTGCTCCGGCGGAGGGTCATTGGGCAGGACGACGCCGTCGGCGCCATTTCCAGGGCGGTGAAGCGATCGCGCGTCGGCCTCAACGACCCCGACCGCCCCATCGCCGCTATGCTCTTCTGCGGCCCCACAGGCGTCGGGAAGACGGAGCTCACGAAAGCTCTCGCCGACTGCTACTTCGGATCGGTGCCGCCCCTCTCTCTCTCTCTCTCCCGCGCCAGCGGCGGTCCTTGCAATGGCGGCGCCGCCTGACCTCCGCGTCGGTGTTGCAGGAGACGGCCATGCTGAGGCTGGACATGAGCGAGTACATGGAGCGGCACACCGTGAGCAAGCTGATAGGCTCGCCGCCGGGGTACGTCGGCTTCGGCGAGGGTGGGACCTTGACGGAGGCGGTCCGGCGGCAGCCGTTCACCGTCGTCCTGCTCGACGAGATCGAGAAGGCCCACCCGGACATCTTCAACATCCTCCTCCAGGTCTTCGAAGACGGCCACCTCACCGACTCCCAGGTAGGTTTAGGTTCCTCTTCTTCCCCCTCCCTCCCTGCCTGTATAAGATTTTTCTAGCCGTCGCTGATCGGGCCATTGCGGTGGCTCAGGGGCGGCGGGTCTCGTTCAAGAACACGCTGATCGTGATGACCTCCAACGTGGGCTCCACCGCGATCTCCAAGGGCAGGAAGAGCATCGGCTTCATGATCTCCGACGACGGCGACTCGAGCTCCTACGCCGGCATGAAGGCCCTCGTCATGGAGGAGCTCAAGGCCTACTTCCGCCCGGAGCTCCTCAACCGGATCGACGAGGTCGTCGTCTTCCGTCCCCTCGAGAAGACCCAGGTGCTCCTCCTCTCCCTCTTCCTCGGAGAACCTAGAGAGAGAAAAAATTAAAATTTCCGCGGCCTCTGATGATCTCATTCCCTCTCGCCGCTCGCAGATGCTGGCGATCCTGAACATCATGCTGGAGGAGGTGAAGAGCAGGTTGGCGGCGCTGGGGATCGGGCTGGAGGTGTCGGAGGCGGCGATGGACCTCGTGTGCCGGCAGGGCTACGACCGGAGCTACGGCGCCCGCCCGTTGCGGCGGGCCGTGACCAGCCTCATCGAGGACGTCGTCAGCGAGGCGCTGCTCGGCGGGGACTTCCAGCCCGGCGATACCGTCGCCGTCGACGTCGATCCCGCCACCGGCCACCCCGCCGTGAGCCACCACCTCGCCACCGCCCATCCCGGGGGCGACCGCTGCTTCTCCGACGCGCCTTCCGTGCTGTAGATGAAGATGTCCCCGCCCCCCGTACTTCGATTTCATTCTTCCCACACAGAAACAGAAAGGCGGCTCCGTTATTCTCCCCTGTACAGACCTCCGTATACTATGTACAAAATCCACGCTCCCAACCAGAAGCTCTCTTCTTCCTCATTCACCAGCCAGCCAGCCAGCCAGCGCGCGAGCGAGAGCGAGAGAGAGAGAGAGAGAGAGAGAGAGAGAGAGAGAGAGAGAGAGAGAGAGAGAGAGAGAACCGGGGCAAGCGAGCCTCGAGCAATGCGATGAGATCTTAGAGCCATCCGAGCGGTATTCTTAGAACCGGGGAAGTATGTTTCTTCAAGGTTTCAATGAGAAGCAGAGGACGCTGAGAAACATGGAATGGGCAAGAAGATAAATAGAGAGAGAATGAGGTACCGGACCCGATGGAGATGGAGAGAGAACGAGTTCGATCTCACCCGTCCACCACAATTCCATCGTCTTCACCGCCGCCGTCGTCGCAGGGATCATCTCCCTTCCGCAGGCCCCCGCAGGCATTGCACTCCATGACGCCGGAGGTCACGCCCTGCGGAGAGGGCGGCAGCGGCGCCAAGGTCCCCCCGCAGTTTTCCCTCTGGCACATGAATCTCACGAAGAAGTAAGCATGCGGGAAGTCCCCGTCTCCTTCCTCCACGACACCCTCCATCCCCTCGTCTTCGTCATCCTCAGCCTCCTCGTCCTCCATTGACGCCACCTTGTGGTCCTCTTTCTCTTCCTCTTCGTCCTGTTCCTTCCAGCCCTTCTCTACCAGACAGCGATCGCAGGCGCAGGAGAAGCCGTAGTCCTCCAGAAGCCTCTTCTGCCGTTCCTTGAAGGTCCAGTTCACGGGGAAGTAGCTCAGGCAGAGCTCTCTCCCTTCGGGGATTTCATGGATGGCCCGGACGATGATCTCCGTGTTCCGATCGCTTCCGCCATCGACGTAATCGAATCTGCAGGCGTTTGGGAGGCAGTCGTGGTTGAACAGGGAGGCGTTGGGATAGATCCCGTAGGCCCTAACCCTCTTCTCCACCTCTCCGCCACTGCCGACGCCGGCGGGCTCCATCAGGCCAAACGCGTTCATCCGATCCTTGGAAAGCAGCGCCGCCGTCAGCTCGGGGGAGAACCCCGCCGGATCCAGCGGCGGCGAGATGGAGCCCATCAAGCTGTGAAGCGCGAGGGGGAGCTCTGGGGAGGCGTGGTCGCCGGCGTCTCCCTGGAGGGAGAGCAAGCGGCGGAAGTCCTCGGGGGAGGCGGCGGCTAGGTTGTAGGCGGCGACCAGGAAGGCGACCTGGGAGCGGCCCTCGGCGCCGTCCAGCGGCGGCGGAAGTCGGCCGGCTGAGCGGATCATGGACAGCGCCCTACAGGCCCACGGCGTGTGGGAGGACAGCAGGGCCATCGCCCTGCAGGGCTCGCCGCAGAAGCGCACCTGCCCGGAGCAGCCGGGGCAGAGGGGTAACGCCCCTACAGACGCCAGTGGTGACCTCGGCACGCCGGCGGCCAGCGTGCGGTAGCAGTGGCCGCAGAAGGAAGAGGAGAAAGACCCATCGGCGGAGTCGAGCGCAGGGTAGAGGAGAAGGGGTGAGTCAGTGAGGAGGACCTCCCCGGGTTTAATGGCGCGGGCGGCGACCAGCGCCCGGCCGCGCCCGGGGATGTCCGGCACAACTCTGATCGGCGTCGCTGCAGACGGCGGAGGTGGCGGCGGCGGTAGCGAGGAGTGCATGACGACGGAGTTTGGGGGCGGCGGCGAGGGCTAGTGAGGGCTCCTCCGCTTTTCAGCCTTCCTCAAGGGAGGGAGAGAGAAGCTTAGTGGGCTTTTTCGGGCCGAAAAGCGCGCATCCTCAAGCACCGTTCCCTTCTATTTACTGGACAGAATAAACAAATATTTAATATTTGGTTTTACTATTATAAAAAAAACCCGGAAGATCGCTGAAATTATCGCAAAAACACGAATTTTGCCTCGTCCCCACTCGTCCCCACCGCGACGAAACCAAAAGGAGTATATCTCGGCAATTAAAACTACGCCATTTACGAACTGTCTAAAACACAGCAAAAAACCCATTTTCTCGCAAGAAACTAGTTTCCCCAAGAATCCTTCTTTTCTTTTTCTCAGACAAGAAACGTTGCCACAATAATAGTCAACGAGGGAAGCAGATGCAGATTATAAACGTGCGAAGAAGATAACGACGGCATGCACAAAGCTAGCTGCGGCACTGAAGAAGCTGAAGAAAGTCTTCCTCCCTCTTCTGGCTTTCATCTTCCTCCCATCATCTCGGAAATGGCCACCACAGTCCACATAAATAGGTTCTATAATTCAAGAACAGGCTAGAAGAGACTCCAATCCATAAAACCCTTCAGCCGTGGTGGGGTGTCCTTTCGTTCTTCCTTCTCCCTTCTCCTTAGACTTCCAGACTTCTGCCATGGAGATAAGCAGTTGTTGGCTCACACGAATGGGGGCATCCGGAGGAGGGGGATCGGCGGCGGCAGGTACCCACCATCAGGGGAGTCGGCGGTAGGCCGCCTTCTGATACCAGGCGGCGGATTAGGGACACCATGGTGGAAGGGCCCCCACCACTGGGGCTCGCCGTCAACAGGGATCCAGGGGATGGTGGAGAACCCATCTCTTCCGAGTCCATAGAGGTGGTCAAAGTGGCGACCTGTGCCTTCGCCTTCCTGGTGCCGCTGCCCGGCCGCTGCTCCGGGGAGGGAGAGCCTGTAGAGGCCGCCGGCCTCCACCGAGGAGGAGGCTGCTGCTGCCGCCGCCGCCGCCATGGTGGATACAAATGCCACCCTCCTGGGCCACGTCCTGACTGGGAGGAAGGCTCTGCCCCTGGAAGGCAACGAAGAAGGTGGAGACTGGTGGAACAAATGCCTGCCGCCGTGGTCGACCCGGCCATCCCTCATGACCGACCTGCAACAATTCGGTAGAAAATCAGATGCATAATGAACCTCCCTCCCCACTCTCTCACCTGCTAAAACAGTGATCTAAGTGGGTTCGGTTCTTAGATACGAGATGAATGAAGAAACATAGCATACCCATGGTGGAGGGGATGAGGATGGCCAAAGGAGCCCGGCCTCTGTTGGCCTCCTGGGTCCACCGGTACTAATCTTAACCCCATGTGGGCAGCAGCTTGGTCCCCGCTGCCAGGGAGCGGCAAGGACGCAGGGGGATGGGGCTGCCAGCTGTGATGCTGGGGCTCGGCGAAGCCTTGCGTGTGGGCGCTCATCATGGCTCCGGGTGGCTGACCGGCGAGGTCGGCCAGGTGGCGGTGGAATGATCCGGTGTCAGGGAGGGGGTCCGCTGGATTTGAAGGTGCATGGTGGCCATGAAGAGCTAGGTAGGGACAGACGTGGCTGGTGGAATCACCAAATGAGGTACTCCTCAACAGATCATGATCTGGTGCAATAAGCAAGTTGAATAAGAACTGGAAAAAAAAAAAAAGCAAAACAGAAAAAAGTCAACGAGGACGATGCGACCGGAAAAAGCTTTTATGGCCAATACTTACACACACCTGCCTGGACTTCACTCTCCCTGCAAGAAGGCAACTTGTTTGAGTCCATCTAAAAGCTTACGCTCAATAATCAGCAAAACAAATCTACTGGGGCCGAATACAAAGTTCCGTTTTCCTTCTCGTTGAAAGTAAGCGTATAATCAAATTGATGACAATTAAAAGAAAATATTTCTGGAGGAGGATAGCAAGGGAATGCCAAGTAAATGACCCCATTGAGTAAAGAAAGCCCACGCATTGATTCTATTACAACGGATACTCCTGTAAATCTCCATTCTCATCTTCTGGAATCATGAAGAGAAAAAAGAAACGGCTGGAAATCTCCAGATAGAAAGATATTGGATTAGATGATTGTCAACCAGATCAGGCCTCTCTCAAGGCACCACTAGCAGGAAAGAAAGAAGGAAAGAAAGAAAGAAAGAAAGAAAGAAAGAAAGAAAGGTCAGAGGAAGAAGAAGATGGGACGCAGAGCAAGAAAGAGGCCCTTTCTCTTCTTTCCTTATCATGGCACACACAGATCTCTCTTTATCACAGAGGAATCCTTATGCTTCTTTACTGTACTTTTTCGCACTACACCGTCTATGGATAATAATAATAATAATTATTATTATACACAAGAAATAAACCTACACTACTCTTAAATAACTTCCAACAAAACCTCTCGCAGCTCTGCGGAAGGCCAAAGCCCAAAAACAACACCCAACTCTTTAAAATTCTGCACCGGATTACCATCACGTCACTCATGTATCACAGCCTCGGCCATTAACAGCCCCGCCATGACAGCAGGAGAGGATGACAGGAATATAACTCATTGTGGTGGCACCCAGCAATTTCAACAATGCTAGATAGAAAGCATGCATTAGCTATGCCTCTCAGCCGATGTTCCAAGTTCTGCCATCAAGGATCCCAGGCAGTGAGCCCCAGATCAAACTCGGTATCCTTCAGTATCAATCTCTCTCAGATGCTGTCTCCATTCTGCATGAAAATCATAACCTACCAACTAAAGAAAAACTGCAATCTAGATGTCTCACAAATACAATGCTTCCTCCATATGCTAGGGACTCACATTTTTCCTGTGGGAAAGGGGGGGAGGGGAGTCACTTTTTTCATTTAGTACTTTTATAATATCCCCTCTTCTCCTCTGCTGTTCCACATAAATAGATGCCATCTTAAATGAAAATGAATGGGACCATATTTTCATACAACATAATAACAAAGGATAACGCTATACAATAAGGTTTACACAGTTCTCAAAATACTCCCTATGAAGGAGCAGCGGTCTAGACCAAGTTTGTGTTGACTATGTCAGATGACGAAGGCACTCAAGATGGCATATCACCCCCCTTCCTCGTCGCATCGAATTCTTGTCCACCCTTCATCCTAATCGACATGAAGGGAAAAGCTGATGCACCGAATATGGATCAGGGAGTTGTTGACCAGCAGAGGCAGCTAAGCCTCTCCCAAGACATTCCACAGCGGACAGCAGCAGAATGAACCACCTACATGGGTTTGTCTTTTAGAAGCAGATGAGTTTCCCCTGGTCTCTCTTACGGTTTTACTTGCCACCTATGAGCTGTGTGGACCATCATTTCTTGAAAGGGGCTTGAAGAATGAACATTGGCGCATCCCCTCAGTATCAAGGATTCATAAAATAAAAAATAAAAAATAAAAAAAACTCGAAAAAAAACTCGTATAATAAATTTATCTTACTAAAGGTCTATCATAATGATTATAAAGAACTTGGAAGAAAACTCCATGATAAAAATCCTGGGTTTTTTGAAGAAAATAAATTTAACGAACGAACTAAACATAGCGCCAACATTTCCAACACTCATAGCCAGGGTACCCAAGATAGTCGGACTCACCCTCAAGATTCTTTGAGTCGATATATAAAAGTAGCTCAGACGGAGAGAAAATTCACATCAAAATCCTCACAATTTGCAGAGGGAAAAAAGATACATCGCATCAACTTACTCGAATAATGAAGCCAGTTGTGTGAATCCACGAACAGGGCACCAATGGAATCCAAAAGGCTGCGAAATAAATAGAATGATACAGAAATATCAACAAAGTGAAGCGGACAAGCTCTTTGAAATGGGCAAACACAAAGCAATATATGGAGAGAGATCGAAATACGTAAGTACAAGAACAATAAATATGTTTAATCTAGTAAAAAGTTGATTCTAAACAAGGACAATAAATATTCAGATAGGCAGGAACATTTCCATGATAGGTGAAACAATGGAGATATATGCTCAGCTGTCCTGGTTAGTGTAAGATAATGATGTTCATAGCTTCATCAGTTAATAGAATACGGTTGCAGACATGTTCCTACAATCCAAGTGCCTACAACTGAAAGAAGAATTTCGAAATAGAATTTCAGGTCTCCTACCTAGAACAGTGTCTGATTTCGCTTTCAGCAAGCCCCTATCCCTAAGTTTCACCAACCGATGGCTAAGCACTCAAATCATATGCCCTGACAGATAATTCTATTTCCTGCTTAAAAGTTGAAATGTAAAATTTGATAACTTGAGTTCTAAAATCTAATAACGGTTAAAACATATTTAGAGCTTCTTGCCTTTAAGGAAAGAGATTGAAACGCTGACTATATCCGACGACACTGAATAATTCCTCTTTTTATTTTCTTTTTTGTAAATATATGGCCAGCTTGGTGGAATTCATGAGAACATATGGAATATATGACAGTTATTACTTCAACTCGAGAAGGAAAATTTTTAGTTGGAAGAGAAACGAGAAAAATCTCAGCTTTTACAGTTTTAAGTATTCTATCAAGAGATTATGTTTCTCGCACTACAAAACTATTTATCGATTGTCTATTGCATTCAAACAATGGTTGCAATACAAACTCGCGTTCATGTATGAAAAAAATTTCGTTCCATAATCAGCACAAATTGTAGCCTGGGAATGAGATTAAGGGTAGGTTCAATGGCCTAACGCTAACAGAATAAGAAAAGATAAGCATTACAAGAGGCAAGGTCCCAAAATATCCAGCCAATCTCCCCAAAGGTAGAGAAGCAAACTGGACAAATATTATTCAGTTCAAAAGAAAAACGGTCCGAGAGAAACTCGGGGTGGAGACTTCCCCTCACTAAGAGGAGAAATATATGACGTGAGAAAGATGAGAAGAAAATTTTAAAGACAAAGAGGAGAGATAGCATCTCCCCCAGCCATAGTAAACTCAGCTAGTGATCCAATCCCTAACAATTTTGTGGAACGAGCAGTACAAGTTAGTGGAAGGCTTGACTAAGCTGGACCTCCAATGCTGACACAATCTCCCTTGGATTGACAAATCACATCGAGATTAGGGCATGCTCCCGAACCAATTAGTCACAAAAAATTTCGTGTTTTCAGAATGAAACTTTGTTTGTCCTCCTCAATACCAGAATGCCACAGTTCTGTCGATTTCCAAGAACGGTCATAGGATTCTGAAGGACAGATAAGCCCCTAAGCTCCATCATAACATAGGGGGCTTAACAGCCGACAAACTTCACAAATCCTCTATTGTTTACACGAAGCAAAACCAAATGAGCTATCGGTAACGGTATCCTGAACAGATAAAAAATAAGCATAGCATTTGCCAGGCACTGATCGCATTCTGATGCACCATAATTGATTGACTGACCATCATAATCTCAGATTCGTCACATTTGAAATTATCAAGGCATTTTGATTGACTGAACAAATACAAAATACACATGATGCTTCCACAAAGACATCGAGGCATCTTCCATGGAGCCCAGATGTTAACGAAGACTTAATTAAGAACTCGGCCATAAAAATGAGATACTAAATTCCATAGATACTCAAGACCCATTAAAAAAGGAGTAATAAAAAAAATACTAATAAATTAAAACAATACGAAATGGTTGTCCTAATTGTAAGAAAAAATATTCAAATTTTGACCACATAAAAGACAATAGGGAAGGATTAATAACTACAGATGTTCCCACTATAATGGTGCAACTAAAATTTGGAAACGACTCTCCTAGTTGGAGAAAATGAATTCAATTTTAACAAGCGATAATACAGAAACTAAAACGAAGTTGGTAAGCTCGTAACATGGCATGATAAAGGGAGAAAAAAAAAAACAAAAAATGCTTAACCAATGCTAGTGAAAAGAAGGCAACAGCATGCTCTGCTTTGATAATAGTCAAACAGTTGCAGCAAGTTTACCATTTCAGAGTAATTGAGGTTATATAAGTCTTCATTGACCAAATCATTTACATTTAGTTCGGGAACCGAATGATATCCATTCGCATATAGCCATTGACCCTTCTCAACTTTCCGACAATTAGGGCACTGCATGATCCCTTTGGCATTGAATGCTGAGCCGATACAATCTACAAAGTGAAATAAGAATATTAGATTTTGCTAAATAATGTCATGTTCCAAGAATCAATCTTGAATAGCAATGATATGGAGCAACATAACCAATCTTACATCATCAACATCAAACACGCCGAGTAGAATTTCTGTCTCTTATATAAATAAGGGAAAACGCAGAAAATCTGTAAAGCTGATCTATATGATATCAACTATATGATATCGTATACCAAAGTAATACGAGTAAGACAAACCAGGCCTTCTATGGCACGCTAATGGGTTTCAAACCCTAGAAAAATGCCCTCTTTGGAGCATCTGTATCGTGCAAATAGTCCCTCTCCCGTCCATCTTCCACAAACATATTTGTCAACCGGACAGAATCCAGCCACGTATGCATATAGATACAAATATGTGTATAGAGAGAGTGAGAGAGAAAGAAAGAGAAAGCTATGCAAAGAAGATAGTGAATATGATACAAGAATTTCTCATCTGCTCATCAAATTCAGCTGTTTCAGATCCTAGAAGCACTGACTTGAAAAATTTCAGCTGTTTCAGATTCTACGAACACTGAATAGATTGTTTCCTAACACTTTGATAGTATGAGTAGATCATAGTTTTCCAACTTCGTTCGTTCAACTTACAAGTCAGCTGAAGTAAAATCAAGTGACTTGAAAAATTACCAAGATTGTCCATTATTCTAGAGAACATGGTTCACCAACAATTCACCAAGATTGTCCTTATGTTAGAAGAAAACACGTCAAAATTTTTAATCTATAAATAAGGTATAATGTAATTATTCCCTTCAAGGAAGACAAAACTAAGATTGCTTTCTTGAAAAGCTAGGAAGCTAATACATTCTTGAAATAAAAGATCCTTTTACTTTCAGCACTTCATCACTTCCTGCAGTGTAAGTCAGATGTCACACTGGCACAATAGGAAAGATTTTAAAAGAGGACTGAACGTCACACAGTGGAGAGGCACGATATTTCACTTAATGCTCCTGGCGTTCGCCTGAACCATAAAAAAACTAAACTCAAGACAGCCCATTATTGATCAATCCCCTACCCAGACACACAGAAATATCTATTTTTTTTCTGAATTGAGAGAAAAGAATCACATGAATCTTCTTCTCATTATCCTTTTTTCTTATCTACCATCACAAGTCCCCACATTTTTTTCAAAAGACAGTCTTTTTTTAGCCATCGACAATGTCTTGGTAAAACAATCTCCTAGGATCAGAGACCATGTTCCAATCCAAAATTGAGATGCTTCTCTATCATCATGGACCCATATGCTATTTCACAGCGTTTTAAAAGTCGACTCTCTCCCTTTAGCGTCCCAGTCAAAAAATGGTAAATTTGTGAGATCCATAACGCTACTTCATTCCATTCCCAACAGAAATAACTTACATGGGATCCATCTGCCCACGGTTCCACATCTTCAGGCAAGTAAGAAGGTGTTTTTCTACAGCGTAGCTGAACTCTAACAGAGAAGCGGAAAGCTAAAACTAAACTCGGCGTGCCACAGTCCAAAGATGAGGCATTTCTTCGAGGAGAGGAAACTCTCAGTTCCATCAGAGCAATCGTCACTTTGCAGTGACAGATGAGCAGAAGAAGGAAAAAAACGATCACAGGACAATGTAGCCGACATGCGGCAGTGAGTAAATACAAACGCTCTCCTTCCCAAATCGAGATGCACCACATATTCAACCTGATCAATATGGACAAATCAGAGGATACAGACAGATAAGATGACAAAAATGAAACCCGCACGTAAGCCGCCACAATTTGAATCGAGAAAGAACAGCAAAATCACTTGGAACCAAGTCGGCATACAAATTGGATAGGAGTTCCACCCGGATAGCATCAGCTCCTAAAATGGAGCCCAAAAATGACGAAAAACCGGCAAGAACAAAATGCATGCAGCTTAAAATGAAAACCCACACCGAGAGACCACGCTCAGACAGAGGAAAGGGAATGTCAGTCGAGATTGAATAGAAAGAAAGGGGGGAAATGACCACCTAAATGGAACTCATGGCCACATTGCAGCTTGGCGACGGATCGGTCCCCGAGATCGGCAGACACGGGCTCGAGGCAGATCGAGCAGAAAACCGACGAGGGCCCGGGCCCTTGCCCCTCTTCCCGAACAGCATGCCGCTTCTCGACGTCCATTACCGACCCGAGACACCCGGGATCCCCCGTCATGTCATGGAGGGGAAAGCTCTGCAACCCCACACCCGCCTTCTCCGTTAACGGGTTTTCGACCCACCCTGGTCGCCTAGTAAAGATCCCAACCTTAGCAGCTACCCCTCCACGCGGAGTAGCCGGGCGGCAGCCGGCAGCTGCAGGTGGATGGTAGATACAGCAGCGGTGGCAGGAAAGAGGGCAGAGAGAGAGAGAGAGAGAGAGAGAGAGAGAGAGAGAGAGAGAGAGATGGACCTGGTTCGGACAGACAGGCACAACTGTATTTCCTGTCTATTTCCCACTCTCGTTTACGGACGGGAAGATGGATTTGATGAAAAATTAAAGCGATATTTTTCAAAAAAACCCTAACCAAACATCTTAACTTTAATAAAATCTCGCCAGAAAAAAAAACTCCAGTGTAAGAGCTTGTAGTACAAAAAACCCCAGTGGTCAGCTTACCAAGAATTTTGCTTCGGGGGTGAAACAAAAAGTAGTAAAATTTTTGAGGGGCTTTTGCGAGCCGTACAAGAAATTTGCGGCCTCATATTCCGCAATCAACATTATTTTTTATTTTCCTGGAATATATAAATATTATTTAAATCGAATTATCTACAGGGAAAGGAAAACTATCCGAGGGAGAAGGAATCGGTGGCCTCCGGAGAACCGACAGCACCCGCTCTATCTTCTCATCACAAAATCTCGTAGCACCTATTATTTAATCGTAAGAAAAAAAAAGAAAAAAGAAGAAGAAAAAATCCCCGCTCTCTTGTTATCGCTCCGTGCGTGTTGAGATGATGATCAATGACGACAACTATGTTCATCTTGTCCACCATAAATTTGTACTGTTTGCGCGCATGATCAACTTGTACAGGGGCGTGGGCAAGTTCCATATCATTTTGCTAAATGGGGTATGCTTTTACATGATGTCATGCTCATCATCATCATCATCATCGTCATCGTCATCATCATGTGATCATCATCATCATCATCATCGTCATCATCATGTGATCATCATCCTCATCATCATGCGGACCCCACAGAGACTCGCTTCTTGCATGGAAACAGAGGCCATCTACATCAGCTAATGTCGTTTCTAAAAAGAGGGGAAGAAAAAGAAAATGTATTATTGGGAGGAGCGAAGAGAGATGGCGGCGCCTAAAGATTCTTCCGGCTCAACGCCTTGCCTTGGAGAACTCGGGATCCCTGCAGAATAATAGAATATGCCCACCAAAAACCAATGTGTTACATCGCAAGATGCAGATGTGTAGGCAAGATGAGATGAGATGAGATGAGAGTATGGGCTGGGGGACCCACAAGGGGTGCTTACCTCCGGACATGGTCCAGAATGACGAGTCTCGGGCCAGGTGGGATGCCAGCGTCTTGGAGGGCACTGAGGACAATCATTTTCATGTCTCAGAGCTTGATCTTCTTCAAGAACCGAAGCTACGGGATGGATAAGAAAGAAAGGGCAGAGACAGGAGGAGCTCCACTTGCCTGTCCGTTAGAAGCGGCAGGGTTGCATCTGTGAGCAGCCCTTTCCTGAAGTTCTTCTCATACCTGTCTAAGCCCAGTCTCGTCAGCATGCTCCTTGCCTGGGTATAGTAGACATCTTCACTGGGACCTGCTCCTTTCGGCATCATCTCCCCAAACTACCGTAGGAAAAACAATAGTAATAAACAAATCAAGAAATCAACGCAGAGGTTAACTTGTATAATAAATAACCAGCAGAGGTTAAATTATTCCTAGTTCTTTGATCTGGGATCTTATCGGTCTCATTCAAGGAATTACTCGCAACGGGCATCTCCAACCAGAAAGAAAGAGGGTGGGTTTTTACACCTCGGAAGGTTTAATGCATTGGGATGGGCATGGTGAGAAGCAAAAGCAGAAGAATAGTTCGAACTACCCTAAACTCACATGGATTTTATTCACTCACCTTATGAAATCCGCCTTGAATAAGGGCAAAGAAAGCTCCAGTACCAACAGCGGAAGCAAAATTGGGGCTCCCTGGCGTGCTCACCAAAGAAAACACGAATCCAGAACCAAAGGCCGCTGTCATGCTGCACAGTAGAAACGTCCATAGTCACCTGATCAGAACAGAGGATCCAGGCCGAATATTATAACGGAAACTCTGGTGCTAAACAGCCAGCGGCCCAGTCCATAGTCACAAAGCAAGACAATAAACTCGTTGAATAAAGTGAGCCGGACAAATTCTTGATCAAGTGAAGGATAGCGCACTGATGCATTCCATTTTTCTACGTCCTGTGCCTGAAAAACATGTTGAGCAGCACCCCTTTTGGATGGGAGTGTAACCAGATTGCGAGGTTCAACTTTTCTGCTGCACAGGTAACTCTTGAAAATGCGAGCCATGTTGCCCTATAGATTATTTTAGGTCAGGCTATATAACATCTTAACTAAGAAGCATGAATAACCATTGGTCCAGGGTACCATCCTGCACCTGCCCTCATAATAGTTCAGCAAAGTAGCTTAGCCAAACGTGAATGATGTTCATTCAATGTACTATTATGGCATAATAAATCTGGAGAAGACCCCGGTTATAATATCGGGACACCTTGTGCCCCAGTTACATCCAACTAGATTAGAGAGCGATGCCAGGAGCAATATACTATACTTTCTTTTCTCAGGATAACCTCCAAAAAGACAAGCAGGCGAGGAGGAAAACGGCAGCAGGAGAAAGATAACTGAAGTTAAAATTAATAAACGGCTTGGCTTATCTATACCCGTTCTGGATGTCATCTACTCCTCTGATTCTTTTCATAGCACAAGATATTCCTGCATTCACGCCAGTCAGGACTGCGAAATTGCGAGCCTGTACCAGAGGACTCCCAGCCATACCCTGCATGGATTGTGATTCGCGATTAAATAACGAATAACTTCGGACAGTAAGAAGAAACAGGTTTCCAGAGACAGAGCATAGAGCAGCAAACTAAAGCAAGGATTGCAGTACAAAAACCACAAGCGGCCTCGACTGTTTGGGACTTGTTGTCCGCGTGCTGTCCAGCAATCCAGATAAAGTTTTCATATGAAGAAAGTTGAGATATCTCGAAGAAAGGAGTGATCTTCCCTCTTTTCAATAATCTTCAATTTCGACCTCTTCTTCCGCTCACTAACAACCTAACGAGGTGTTTAGAGAAAACTGACTGACAACAAGGTGTTTAGGGGCAACAGTTAGCAGTTAATTGTGTCGAGGGGCTGGCACCTCTCTTCCTCTGCCACTGTGAGTTTCTTCTAAGGATCTGACAAAGCTGGCCTGAGCCAGCTGGCTGATGCTCGATCGAGCTCTCTCTAAACAGAGTGGACCTAACCCAATGAACTATGATTAACAACGAGCTTTCACACTGCATCAACATGACAAGAACTATAAGAAAAACATGGGAGAGAAAATTGGGGTCAACAAAAACCCAAAAATCTGGAAAAATCGCAGAATAAGAAACATGAGATGCATCTTCATCCCCGAGTAAATCAGAACAGTTTACTAAATTATTCAATATATCGGATAAATTAGACACTGACAGAAAATAAAGAAGGCGAACTCAAGAGAATCTGCAAAGCATGAAGTGATGCGGAGAAAGGTAAAACTAGAAAATATGAGGAAACGAAACTCAGCAGAAGGAATATAAGTTGGGATCCTATTAAATAAACTTGGCATTTGCAGCCAGCGGCCATATTGGAGAAGGCTCTGCTTTATGTGCTCTACCTAGGGTTTAAGCCTTTTACGCAGCACGTTAACAATGTTTCGAATGTCCATGCATCCTTCAAGGCTGACAGTGAGGAGAATACCAATGTATCCGCACGTAAATCGGAAAATGGAATACTAATTTAGTCAGCAGCCATTACTGAGAACGCCATCACCACGACATCACCAAGTTTCCTTCGTTCCACACAGGGTGGAACAAGAAAAAAAGATTAAACTCAAGAAACCACATCAATCTTGGTTAAAACGGATCTTACAGAAAAAGAAGCAAATGTAAACTAGATGCAAGAATCCAACAGCAAGTAAAACGACGCGAGATAGAGGAGAAACATGGGTGTTTCGAGCACCTCTGGTTGAAGAAAAGGGTTCGCCGAGCTGGCCTCCAGGCCAGAGGCAGCATTTTTGGCGGTCTCGGCCTGCAAGTCCTTACTCAGAGAGCTAATAAGGCCCCCGAGGACGCCGCCCTGAATGGCGCCGAGGCCGGTAGTAATGGCAGTCTCAACTGGAATGGATTGCTGAGCCATCCAAACCTGGAACCGCTCCTGCTTCTCTGTGATCCACTTCTGGGCCACCGCCAGAGGCGACGACGCCGAAGAAAGGACCGCGAACGGCGCAGAGAAGGCGGCTCCCACGGCCTCCCGCTGCTCCTCCTTCCTCCGCAACGCCCCCGGTCCTCCCATCGCACCCCGTCACTCTCTCAAAGAATCTCCCTTCCCTTCTCCGGCGCAGAGGACGAAGAAACCAATGGATAGCGATGAGTGAGCGAGAGAGAGAGAGAGAGAACCCACCTTGACAAAACGCTTCCCCTCGAAGAGAGGTGGGGAGAAACTTTTGTAACTGTAGTTAATAATTCAAATAACAATATAATAATAATATACATCGGCAGAAGCCAGAAAATAATTACGAAATTAGTTCGCAGTAATACCGTGTAGCCGGCTTAAATTATATAAGTAGCCGATATTTTATATTTCGTTACAAGGGTTTAGGCCCGCCTGAACGACGAAACGAGTTGGACCGGACCTAGTTGAGTCGAAACGGCCGAGTTGTCTCCACGACTCGGTGTTGTTGCCCCCAATTGTTCTCTCTCCCTCTCTCACTCTGTGCGGCGATCCATCCTTGCGACTGGTAGTGAGAGAAGGAGACGGGGAAGCGAGCAGAGGGGCAGTTGACCCAGGAGGGCGGTAGAGAACGTGTGAAGGAATGGCGTGGAGGGGGCTGATATCGCGGAACCTGAAGGAGTTGCGGTTCCTCTATTGCCAGACGTCTCCAGCGAGCGCTTCGACCCGGTAGCTTCTTCTTCTTCTTCTCTCTCTCTCTCTCTCTCTCTCACTCTCATCTCCGACGTCTCTCTCCGTCTGCGCTTCTTCCGATGGTGTAGTTCTCTTGACATTTTGTGCCGTGGATGCTGAATGCAGGGAATTTGTGCAGAGGAATTACAAGGACCTGAAGACGCTAAACCCTAAGTTCCCCTTTCTGATCCGGGAGTGCAGCGGCGTAGAGCCTCAGCTCTGGGCGAGATACGGTAACAGAACCGGACTCCCGCCTTAAATTTTTACACTGTTCATATATTAGATATTTCTATTAGATCCCGTCCAGATGCCGTACTGCGCAAATCTGCACGCTGGGTGATTAATAATCAAAATAGAAATGTATAACTCTGGGTAGATTGCTACAGAGATGAAACACGATTTTTTTTGTTTTCTCTTCGCGTGCTTTTTCCTTTTCTTGATTGATTGCGTTACTGCCTCATGCCCCTTGACGTGAATAGAAGACTATCCTCACATTTGTGCCACATGAAATGTCGACCATTATCGACATGCACGCAGTTAGAAATGCCTTGATCTCACTAATTTGGGTGCACAACGTAAAATATTATTTTATTAGATTGTTGGCTTTCTCACGGAAAAAATCTTTTTTCAGTTGTTTCTTCAAAGACTTGATTTGAAAGCAACGTATTGACTGAGACTTGCTGTATGCTTAGTTATGTTGTGTGACAATGTATCGGTGCCAGCAGTTTTGAACCGTTTAGATGGGTACTTTCCCACAGTCATTGCAATTTGTCCTTGTTGCTTAGTGCATTTTTGGGTAGAATGCTGCCGTCAGAGTGTATTCTGCTTGTAGGTTTTGAGATGTGCCTAGATGGGTATTTTTGGCCCCAAGATTCTTGCTTTGGTCACTATGGAAGCATGGATGGTTGGCGTTTTGGTCACCTCGAGTACTTCGTTGACATCCTCATTTAAGGAAAAAAATCGAAAATTGACATGCGAATACGAAACTATTTCTTCTTCATCAAATATCGATATTAAAACAATGACATTTACATTATGCCAGATGAATCATTGAAAATGGGGGAAAATGTACATATTAGATGACACAAAATCTTGTTACGTTGCTTTGAATGAACTCATCGCCTACCTCACTTGACTGAGCATAATGTACTTTTATCTTTGAGGTCAATGACTTAGTGTAAGCTATTAACATAAATAATGTCATTCCTTAACAAAACACTGGCCAAGATAATGAATCTCTCAAAATGAGCTATCCATAGCTCCCTTTGAGGTAAAAACTGTTTCTTTTTTGACAAAATGTTATACATCAGAGCTTGAAGCTAGTTCAGATGGCATAAAGTTTTTGATAGGTGCATATGTGAAGAGATTGACATGTTTTAAGTTTATGTGTGTGAATCATTCTGGACTGTTGGCTATCAAGTTAGATTAAGATAAAATTACTATGATTTTTAAAAGATGGTACTTCGTTGGAAGCTTTGGCTTCAATTAGGTAGGCATCATGTCCTGTTACCAATGTCATAAAGCACTGGGCTCCACTTTTTCTTGCCGCGGTGACTTCGCTGCAATGAATCAGCCGAAGTGGAGGATCAATATCAAGCTCTCGCTCTATCTAATTCTCTCTCCAGACTGGGCATCAAAATGACAAAATTATTCTGTATCTGGACATTATGGGCAGCGGGAGGCTTGACTGTTTCCTAATATTTATAAACTAGGAGAACCACTTATTAATGTTACAGTTGCTTTGTTTGATCATGTTGGTGTTTTGATCAAAAGCCTAATCAATTAAGGACTACCAGCTTCCATAGGAGTGGCGCATCTTCACTATTTTGGAGTAGACAGAGTGAGAGATTGCTAACTGCTGTGCTGTGTCTTATTGTTTGAAGAGACCTTGGTAGTGTTTGGGGTAGTGGGTGTCTACGAACCATAGATAGAGGATGCTGACTGTTGGAAGAGATGTTTCATTGCAAGAGGCAATGGGCAAAGGTGAACGAAACTGAAGTCTGGACTTATTGAATTCCTTGTTGTAGAAGAAACCTATTGGAAGCAAAGCTGAAGAAACAGATTAGCGGAGGGTGGCAGCACCTTTATACTATGACTTCTGGAAGGAGGGATGAAAAACAATTAGAATACCAAAGAATGATGGTTACTTTCTTAGAAAGCTGGGGTCAATATGGATGTGGAATGGTTAGAGCACCTGTATGCTGAGGAAGGTACCTGATACGATCCTCTTTAGTCGGGGCGAATTGGGTGGGAAATCAAATTGTATTGATCAAGCTAACTCGCAAAGGATGTTATTCCATGTGATCGATGAGTTGGGAGTACCTATTGATAGAAGAGGGGGGCACTAAGTGATAAAAAACCGAAGACATGTTGAAGTGAAAGCACTCTTCCTTTAGCATTTTAGTGTTATCGGGTTTTTTTTGTAAAGGAACGTTAGCTGATTCCATCATTTCCCAAGATAAAAGGGCTCTCCTAGAATTTCTGAACCAGGATGCACAAATACATATGTTGGATAGGATTTGGACGATCTGAGCTGATTTTGAATTCATAATTGCCCTTCAAAGGGGGAATAAAAGATCATTTCATAGCTGTTCAGAGGATTGCAACTAGTTCTGAATGCTCACCTGTCATCCTTAGGGTTCTGCTTCAGGAGTACATCATGGCGTTTACTACTCAGTGAATTGGAGAAGGCTCGGTAGATTCTGAGTGGCTTTTGCCAACTAAGAGGTCGTTTACTCTTAGGTATTTGATAACCGTAGGCAAACCTTTGAGATCTTAACAGAGCAGCTGTAAATAAATCGAGACTATTTGATATACGCGTCGTAGATACACTTTTAGGGCTTGTGTCATCTTCTTGGACAGAATGCTGCGTGCAGTGGTCTCTATCTTAGATGGATTTAAACGGGATGACCATGCCCACTCTCTTTCCTGTATTTCCCCAATGAAACACACTATTCTCGATTTTCCTTCTCCATTCGGATGAGTATTACTTTGTTGATCCCATAAATGCACTGATTCTGGAAATCAATCTTTTTCCATTTCCCTCGAGGAGGTTTAACGGAATTCTTACTTTACTGATTCATTTAATCTGGTGTTTCAACTGTACCAAGAGTCTGATGTGTTTTCAAGGATCTGGGCATGATTCTTGGGATTTAGATAGAATGTGTCGGCTATTGACCATCTTCTCAGCAGAGAATAATTAAACTCGTCTATGGAGAGGACTTTTATCGTGTCAGCTGATTCTATTAGCTCGCAGATGATGATCTAGTTCTAGCATAGTGGTGGTCCAGGTTTTATCGTTATCTTACTCTGATGTCATTCTAGATTGGGTGAATATCGTGACTTGGCTCGATCGTGCAGCTAGTTAAGGTTTTTCTATTTTATCATATTTAATTCCAGTCGTTCTTGCAGTGTGAATAATGGTCATATACACGTTTCTACTTCTTGTTCTGTACATATTTTTTGTGGCGCTGTATTCATTTCACATGTTTTCTGGGTTTCTGCTGCTTCATTTTTGTATGTATCTATCTTCTTATCTCTCTCTCTCTCTCTCTCTCTAACCTGGTGATTTGATGTGAGAAACCAGACATGGGCGTGGAGCGATGTGTTCGCCTGGATGGGTTGACGGAAGCCCAAATCGCCAACAAGCTAGAGGAGCTCGTCAAAGCTGGGGCGTCGGCAGTCTAGTGCTCGTCGCATCTTCTTCTGAGCTCACGATGCTCAAATAAACCGACCCTTTCCCCCTTAAAAGAATCACCTTCTTCTCTCTCTCTCTCTCTCTCTCTCTCTCTCTCTCTCAAGTTCCAGTTGTTTGGTATCCAACTGGGATTCTGAAGAGTCTGTTGAAGTGCTGGGTTGCCCAATCAATAACGCGGCAGGAACTTGCAGGAGTTGTGAGATTAGCCCATGGAAACTGTGAATTCTTTGGATGAGTTTTGTCTTGTCGATCGAGTAAGAAGAATTCCATTCGTCGCGATCGATATATCTTATAGTACTTGTTCACTTGGATCATAAACTTATTACGATGAATCCGGCCGGTTTTGCGGGCGGAGTGGAGTGGTCGGCTTCTTCTCTTTCCTTGGAGAATAAAACCCGCGACTTGATATCCCCCTCCCCCCGCCAAATTTGTATTTCGGTAAAAAAAAACTTGTGGTCGTACTCGGCGGGGGCCGCCGCAAGCGAGGAGAGGAGAAGATCGCGTCACATCCTCTCTCTCTCTCTCATTTCTGAATCAGGCAGCCGGTGGGGACGTGAGGGAGAGGGCCTCGCCGAGGAAGGAAAGTCATGGCAGCCGCCGCCGCCATGCCCGCCGCCCGCCCGCTCCTCCGCCACCACCACCGCCCCTCAGCGGCCGCCTCCCTTCCTCCGCCTCCCCCCCTCGGCGCTCGGGGCCACAGCGGGCGAAGCAGCGGCTACATGCCCCGCGCCGCCATCGTCCTCCTCCCCCCGATGGCCTCCGGCACCCTCTCCCCGGTACTGGCCCCACGGCGGCGCCGCCGGGGACCCGTTTCCTTCCGATGCTCCTCCGGTGAGCAAAACACAAAAACCCTCCGCCTCCTCCGCTAGCTCTTCCTTCCTTCGCTCTGACCTGCAGAAAGAGCCCTTCTACCCGCAGCGCTGACGCCGGAGCTGCGGTCGACGCTGGACAAGGTGGTCTCTTCCAACAAGGTGGTGCTGTTCATGAAGGGCACCAAGGACTTCCCGCAGTGCGGCTTCTCCAACACGGTGGTGCAGATCCTCAAGCTACTCAACGTGCCCTTCGAGACCCTCAACATCCTCGAGAACGAGTTCCTCCGGCAGGCCCTCAAGGAATACTCCAACTGGCCCACCTTCCCCCAGCTCTACATCGACGGCGAGTTCTTCGGCGGCTGCGACATCACCGTCGGTCGGCCCCGCTCTCCTCTTTCCTCTTCTTCTCTTTTCCTTCCTCTAGTGATCAATCCATCCTCTCTCCTTCTCTGAGCCCTCAATCTCCTTTCCTCTGCGACAGAAGCGTACAAGAGCGGGGAGTTGCAGGAGCTGCTGGAGAAGACGATGTGCTCCTAGTCTCCGGCAAGGTGGGTGTCTCCTGCTGGTCAGTCTCCTTCGTTGTTATCTATATTTCCAAGGTTGGAAGCGAAATTGGAAGATGATTAAGTCGCTCCACTCCCCCATCGTGGATCATATTGCCATCAGCTCTCTCATCAAGGAAATAACCACAGAACATCCCCTGGATTCATGAGATTATAGCAGTAAATCTTTCTCAATTCTCGTCCGAAGAGCATCCGCTCTTCACCCTAGCTAAACGAAAGAGGCACGGCCTGTGCCTGCCGGCATAATTCCATCAATCCGAAGAAATGCCCAAGAAACAATTTGGGTAAAGTAAACATCGACCGAATTCGCCTCACGATCAAAAAAATGAGATCAAAACCAGTGGAGAGAAGATCCCCTCCGTGGTGTATAACAGAAGGAAGATGCTACACAGAAGCCCCGACAGCAAGAATGGGGCAGCTCTCAGCTCCTTCCATCGCTCCGCGGCCAGCCATCAGCGAGCCTCAGGACCCCGAACCAGTGGGGCCCTGCCATCGCCTCATCTAAAGCTAGATTAGAGCTTGAACGTTGAGCTGCTGCATTTCGCGTAGCCTCCAGGCGGCGTGGATTGCTTCTTCTCCCAGCTCCTCTGCATCCGTTAGTTGCATGGCCCATGCATAGTACACAGTCTGGATGCTGTCCTGGATGAGATTTTCAGCAAGACAAGGAGAATAAACCTTGGGAATCAGTGGGCTTGGCATATTTCAGACAACCAGATGAAGGATAGGCTACAACCAACCACCCTCATCTGACACGAGAAGCCGGGTAACAAAGGGTAAAGAAGACTGGGCTTAGGACAGCCAGAGTCCGCCAAGAATGGTAAAGCCTAAAGTTTGAATATTTTAAAGGATGGTCATTTTTTTCTTCACCTTTCCTCCTGCAGTGATGGAACCCTCCCTGTCACGAACACAGTAAATCTGCTGTGTCTGGAACTGAAAGTATTTTTTACATGCCAAAAGTCAAATGGTTGGATTCTGCATAAGTTGAAAGGGAAATTTGATGATGTAACAACTAAGTGTCAAATGAAAAAGGATCCTCACAGCAACAATAATGATGGGAGTAGATCCCATCATTTTCGTTTCCCTGACGTCAACATCTGATATATGTAGAATCTGCAGAGTCAAATGAAAATGTTAATCTGCTCTTACTTTGCAGCAAATAATGATACAAAGAATAGTAGTAATACTGTTGAATGGATAATTAGTGCTCATATTGTATAAATCATCGATTCTTTATCCTCACGTTGAATAATAGAATACAGGGTAGCACACACTGATGATGACTCTTCGGGTGTGATGATCTTTCAGTCAAGAGATTAGATGATCATGCTTTATGATGTGTACTCATGGGCTTTTAAACTTTTTTTTTTATCAATGATGATCGGATATCATGATCAGGCATAACCAACTTTTACAACGATTCAGACTGTAAGAACAGAGCCACGATTTTATATCACGATTGTGATCATCAGCCATGGCGATGATGATAGCATCGCAAGTATGGATTAAAAGAATCATGCAATGCTTTTACAACCCAAAATTACAATGAAAAATCGCGTCGTAAAATTTCCATAAACAATGATAATGACATTTTTTCGATAAATACCCACAAAACCGGAAGACATCACCCATTGATTTAATTGACAGGGGAGGAAAAGTTACATCAGCGATCAGAAACTTGCTAGATTTGAATGATAATATTTTCCAAATCCCATTGTTCTTCTGTGTGTGACTTACCTTGCTATCGAAAAACATTCCCTGACTCTCATAAGCTGTGCGCTCTCCTTTACACCTCTCGATCACTTCTTTGCAACAACTGTTTTTTAATTTTTCCACATCACCCTGCAGCATTGAAATATATGCTTATTAGTTGAGGGAGCTCAGTCATTGAGGAGAACAGAAGTGTAGAGAATAAAACAGGTTACAGAGAAAGAAAAAAAAAAGAAAACATTATTCCTTTCCATGGAGTCGGAGAAAATGATCGCAAAAGGATGCCCGCTGTCCTATGCAAGAGTAAGAAAAATCTGGGGAAGTGGGCCTTGACTCACTAACTTCCCTTGATAGACGAACCATCAACTTTTTTTTTCTTGGAAAAGAAAGTGAAGCCCATGAAAGATGGATAAGCTTTCGAGAGAGTGGAAACTTAAAGGCATTATGCTGGCAAATCGATTCTACACGCGTTACAAGGAGAGGAAGGAAACCGTATTCCATGTACTAAAAAACTGGAGGCACCAAATAAATTATCTGCATTTATTGGGTTGACTGAGAAATCGTACCGTCAGATAAGCAGTCAGGGTAGGTCTGATCATTTCCTGAACCTCAGCAACAAATTCTGGCAAAGAAAAATACCTGGCACATCCAAAATCCATAAAGAAAAGAAGAAAATAACATAGCTTTGAGGTTCCAAAGAGCCGATATTTACAAGAGCTCCGGCAGTTCAACCGAAATAATTGCATCAACTACTGGAAAAGAAAAAGAGCGAGGAAATGGAAGACAAACTTACGGGTCTCGGCGGCGTATCTCCTTAAATGATAGGGCAGTGGAAGTTTCTCCAAAAACGGTATCATTCAGACTGTAAGACAGACAAACCGTATCAATATCTGGAAATAAAAACTGAACAACTTATTTTTTAGATAATAGATTCAAACAAGTATTCACCGACGATTAAAAAGCAGAAACAATAAATGAGCAGCCAAATAATTACTGAAGAAGGAAAATAAACAGAGGAACAGGAGAAGGTCCTTTTTCAAAAAAGAATGAAATGGAAAGCTTGACAGATTAGCAAGACCTCCCCCTTGATCATTATATAAGCGGATACATTGCTATCCTATAAAATCTTATTACATTGGTGAGTAAAAAAAAGAGGCAATGTAATCAATAAGCAGCCAGGTTGATGCTAGGAATAGATAGGAACAGGAGAAGTCTGTTGAGGAGGATTCGGGGATGCAAAACTTAATACGAATCAAAAAATTACATCCATGAAAGACAACGTGAAAGTCAGATTTCAGGAATCTACAACTTCTAAAACAAAATATCCAGGTTAAACATGCAGAGTATATAGACTAAGACGAATAGTGAAAATAACCATACTCTTGAATTTTGTGGACAACAGGATTATCGCTGGTCTCCCATCGTTCTCGTACATCTTCAGCAAGCTATTACATGTAACAGAGTCGTAATAACATGTTATTAGGGAAAAGGCATATCAATGGCACCACAAATTTGTCATTGTTAAAAGAAAAGTAAGGGGCTTCACCTCCTGTCCCTTTGCAACGACAGGCTCACTCAACCCACTGACACGCTTAAAAATAGGATGGCCTCTCATCTATATGACAAAGGAAATAACCATCGTTTCAGCGAATTACAGGAGTAGGTGCCAAATGAATGATAAATTCAGAAGCAATTCGATAATCTACCTTATCTTTCAAAGCTTCCCATTTCTTCCCCAACCTTGACTGCTTTGAAGGCACGATCACAATATCCTTCCTGGTACTTCTCCCCTCATTTGATGTTGAGTTATGTGAACCTTGCATGCGTCTTCTCCTAGCTGGACTACTAGTCAGTTCATCCTTCACTACATTATATCCCTTCTTTGCTAGATCAATTACTTTAGCCTCCTTCAGTTTTTGAAAGGCAGAAGAAAGCTTCGGTGAAGCAGAAGAAACAGCACACTTCAACCGGCCAAACAAAGAACCCAGAGAATCCTGTCTTTCTCCAGCAGTACCCTGAGAATCTTCTGTTGCTCCATCAGTGCCCTGATAATCCTTTTTTTCTCCAGTAGTACCCTGAGAATCCTGTGTGCCTCTACCCGTATGACTTTCTTCATCTGAAACGTCTTTGAATCTTGCTGAAGAGCTAGTTGATCCAGAGGAATCTTTCTTCCCCAATCCTAGGGTCTCTTTCACCTAAAAGGTATCATTTTTTGATTTAAAAAATTAGTATCCCAGTCAAATAGAATAAAAATCGTCACCTCGCATGAAATTGATTCAACATACTTCCTCCGTAGCAGCAGAAATCTTTTCCTTTGCATTAGCTGAAACCTGAAAACAAAGCATAAATAGTTTTTACTCCAACTAGCCAAGGTTTAATCCTTCAGAGATGGCATTGGTATCCTCAACTTGCAAAGATTTATATCAACACGACCTAGATAATGTCTTAATTGTCAAAAAAATGTAAGCATCCGCTGTCAATAGAAAATGTAATTCTTCATTAAAAGATGAGGTCGCTTACCACCAATGCTTCCAAAATAAGATCTTTTGTATGATTACCTATCCGTGCCTAGGAAATATCAATTGTACTACCAGGTTAGTAGGCCGCATGTATCATACCTTAGAAATCTTTTTAACTACATCCGACCACAGCCTTACATCATCAGTTATTGGTTTCTGATACCAGTCCCCTAACACAACTCCAATGCCCCAAAAAATACACTGTATTGCTTATAAGCTCTGGCGCAATGTCTAAAGCATCCTAAAATAGATAAATGACAGAATGGCAGACTAGACACCACAACCTTGTATAGAGGAAGCCTCCCTACAAATAAAATTAAAATTCCTTTAAAACCAGTTTTTCTAATGCCAAATTTCTGCACAATGTCCACCCAGTTCTAAAAAATAAGACTCTTGTTATAAGTGGCATCCTTACGAAACTGCAATATCATCATCTACAAAGGCATCTACACTTCGGTCTACGCTCTTAAAAACCATAACAAAAAAATAAAAAAATAAATTAATAGCAGACCATAGTAAAATATCATGAAACTATATCATCTCTTTCGAATAGTTGTAGAAAGTAACTGTAGTCAGATCGATATGTACAGAAATATTTCATCGTACCCAAGAAGTCACACTACTGACTAAAATATGAATGGACCATTCGTAGAGGAAGTGTGGTCATTGCAGTGTTTTGGGAGGAATGTAAAAGAGAGAAAATGGATGCCCTTTACTTGGTTATTCTTTGACGGATGATGAAGGAATTCTGACAGGAGCAGCATTTTTTAGGTAAAAAAAAGAAGAAGGAAACAATGAGCGTAAGAAGCAATGAATCCGTATTTATGGGTCAGAATAGCATCAAACAATTGAAATCACCATTAATTGGCCAAAATTCAGGAATGTTCTCTTCCTCACATTGGATCCGCAGAAAGAGTTCTTTACTAGATATGTTATCATGGGGTCCCAAATTGTACAAAAGGATCGCCTTAATAGAAACACTCCCCCCCTTCTCTGATTATCAGTAACCAAGAATATCCATCTGTCGATCTTCCTTCCCGTTTTAGCGATAATAACAACTAAAACATTACTAACCCTTTTTGCACATGAATAGTTTAGATTGGCTTTGAGATCCACCAAATGATTTCCGACCATCCCTATTTTCAGATCATGGCACACAATATCTCCTCATCTATGGTGACCAGGGCTTCCACCATGAAGGTTATGGAATACTTCTGGATAGACTGAATTGATCAAGAAAATACCTGAACAGGAAGGCACTGAGTCAAAGGATATTAAATAGAATGGGTTGTTTGCTTCAATTAATGTGAAATCCAGCAAATTCTTGGAGAATAGTCAGCTTTTATCAGCCACGTAATTGGAGCGCCCTCCCGTAATCATTGTCTGGAGGACTACCTCGGTACAGAACGAGAGCAGCGAGACAGATACACAGGTTAAAGAGAATAAAACTACTTAAGGTCAAAAAATAGGAATATAAGCGTTATCTCCAAGAATGAGAGAAGGATGACACAGTCAATGCAGGGTACCACGAAACATGAATGAGTCCAGCTTTTTATTATTATTATTTGTTTAAACATACAACAACATCCGAGCATCAAAAACCATAATTGATGCACCAATAAAAGGCATTGGCGTTCAGTGTCAATAAACTTTAAAGAACTCAGACACATTTCTTGCAATAATTAATAGGCAGCACCATCATCTACACAGATAACCTATAAGCCAAGAAGATGCATAAGGGGAAGAAAAAAATGTACTGCCAAACTGCATTAACACCAATTAGAGATTGCCCATTTGTAGTTGAGTCCTCAGTCTGACCTTCTTTGTCGTAGCTTCAGCCTCAGCCCATATCCCATCGACTTGCTTGTACAGCTTCTCAGTTGTCTCTTTTGTTCTGCATTCGCCAGTTCATCATCCCTTCTAAATCAGGGTCCCCTCTAGAGCTTCTGTCTTGACATACAAAGTATGCCTCAACCTATGACTAGAAACTTAAGGGATGGTAGACTCAACAGTGCCGCTGTGCTATAAACTTACCTGACTTTTAGGTCTTCTTTGATCCCCCCCACCTTCTCGTTGAACTCCTTGAGAGACTGCCGCAGTTCCTCATTGCTGCGACCAAGCAAAAAGGAATAAGCTTGAATGCACCATGAATGCGGAGGCTTGCATTCAGTTGCTTACTTAGCAAAAAGGGCCACTCATTGAAGAAAATTTTAACACTAAAAAAGAAAAAAAGAATGGAAAAAACCTAAATCAAGCATCAGGTTACCTTTTAACTTCTCCTTTCAGTTGCTTTGAGAACTCATTGAAGATGCTGAATGGACGGAGAGCCAAAGACTCGTTAGCTGTGCCCAAGAAAGTAGGCCTGGTTACAGCAGCCTGAAACAGGTAAAATCGCCCAAGGTGAAGAAATAGACAACCACAAACTAACGCCATCAACATCACGTCCCCACCCCCCCTCCCCAAACAAAAAAAAAAAACTTACTAAAATGATGCAGAGAATGAATTGAATACAGACCACAGAAATAGAAACCAAAAAAAAAGAAAAGAAATCAATGATGGTGAATTGCCCATCTCGATTATAGAACGGGAAGAAAGGATATGCTGTAATATGATGATAAGAGTCATCTATTTTTATTTTTAAAAACTCTGGCTGCATGGTTTCATGGCTCAACATTGATTGAGAAGTGACGCCTCCCACAGAAACTAAGAGGAACGCACATTACAGGTGTTTTTTGGAACGATACTTTTCGGTGTAATCATTAACATTTCTTATTTGTATCTAAAACATCCTAAAGAATTCACCCACAAGCCGAAGGCTCACAAGTTTCATCCGAAGAAACTGGTAACAAAAGGAGCACATCACGCAAACCGCCATAAGCTCTCAGCAACGCCGGCAGAGAATCAATGGACAAACCTAGAAACAATAAGCTGAGGATCGGAGTTTGTCCGTGGCCCTCGCACTGAACAAGGAGAAATGACGCATTTCGAAATCCAAAGAACTAATACAGACGAGAATCCATGAAAGCCGCCGTATCTTTCAGTCTCTAACATGCACCTTGGGGAAGGGAGAGGGGAGCACCTGCCGGTAATGGTGAATCAAGTGGAGTCGCTTGGCCAAGAGAACGTCCCGGACCAGCCTTCTGCTTCCCATCGGAAGAACAAGAATCTATGGCACGGCCAGTGAAACCGTACGACACCAGGGTTCCCGTGGACAGACGACAGGAAGAGACCCCTTCGTCGGGAACTGGAAAGTCGACGACGGCGGGAGAGATAGAGCGAGAGAGAGAGTGAGAGAGAGAGTTTTGACGAGGGGAGAGAAACAAAAGATCAGTTGGAAAGCCGAGAGAGAGAGAGAGAGAGAGGCGGTTCCAAGGGTAGACCCTTCTTCCCCTGAAGCCTCTGCCCGGACGGACGGACTCAGGTCGGGGGAAATATTAACACCGAGACGCGAATATATTTACGGAACGTGTCCTTAGGGCACCATGGTTGCAGGAATTCATCGTGCCGATGGGCGAGGAGCTGCAAAGGTCGGTTCTTTAGGCGACCAGCGACGTCCCCTGCGATCCAATCTATCTTCCGCATGCAGATCCGGTCAAGCCCTTGCTCGCCCTAATCTCTGGTGACCAAACATTCTCTGTCGGCGTATTATCTTGACTTCAGCTGTCCACAAAACCAGAAAAATTCCCGGCAAGACCCCTCTCCTAATCGGAGTGAGAGGAAAATTCCCTCTGATTCCCTGAGAATTATCACTCTCTGAGTTACTCATCTCCAACAGAGATTTATCCGCAACATGTTAAATTAAATTACTCTCGAAGTCCCTCCCTCGCTCCTTCTCGCTCGGCCATTTCCAGAATTAGGCGCCATTTCGGTGATCTCACACGTCAAACACGACTAATCAATGGCGCCGTACTTCTGGGTTGACTAAGCGAGAGGAGGCGTATTTAGATGCTTTTTTCATAATATTATATCAGATACAGCAGCGGGCATTTACTTCAACTGAGAAATGTTGAATTATGAAGGAAAAAACGAGATTATTTTGCCTCCTTATGATGGATGATGATCCCCAACCCGTACCCAAACGGGCCTCCTTCCCTTGCTCTCTCTAGGTTGTTCTCGCTAGCCAAGTCTATAATTTTTGCCCTTTTTTGGGCTTCTCTGGTGGCGCGGGAGGAGGGGGGTGCGTGCCTCGCCAGACGCCATGCCGCCCAGGAAGAAGGGAGCGAGCGTGGCCTCTGCGGCGGCCAAGAGGAGGCAGACCTTGTCGGCGAAGAGGGCCGTGGCCAAGAGGCTTCAAGGATCCCAGGAGACACCGGACGACGAACAAGCAGGGGAGACGTCTGCCGCCGTCCCGGTCGAATGCGGAGATCTCGCCTCTGAGACGGGGGAGGATGCCACCACTTCGAGAGAAGAGGCCCCTTGGTCGGTGAAGATGGAAGCGGAGGAGGACCTCCACGCTGCTGACGTTTCAGGGCCCTCGCTGGAAGGTCGGTATAATGAGGCGGCGGCGGCAGAGAACGGTGAAGAGGCTGCGGTGTTGGACGGGGAAGATGGGCTCCCGTCTTCCACCGCTGCCGCAACTGCCACGCTGCCGCTGGCTCCAAACTCCCTCCTTGCAATTTCCCGCGGTGTGGACGATCTCCGTGGATTATCCACAGCCCTCTCCAGCTTCACCAACTGTTGGGACGACCTGTGTAACTACCTCGGCTACATCCAGGCCGCCATGGACGCCCTTGCACGGGGGCTTGATGCGCATTCCGTGCGTCCCGCATCATCAGTTGGGGAACTGTATCCGGTAGGGGAAAAGTTCGAAATTGAAACAGAGAAGAAGAAGGGTGAGACCTGGGAAAATACAAACTCAGTAGTGGACCTGAAGTCTATATGTGAGAGAATGTTGGGAAGGAATCTGAGGCGGTATGTAGTGGCCCACCTGTCGGAGGTAGACCGGCTCCGGGAGGAGGTGCCCAAGGCCCTTCAGCTTTCCCCCGACCCAGCGAAACTTGTGTTGAGTTGCATGGGCCGGTTTTATCTCCAAGGGAGCAGAGCCTATGGGGATCCCAATTCACCGATGGTGGGTGTCCGACGGGCATGCATCTTGGTGCTTGAGTTTTTTCTCCTCTCTGGCTGCGCCTGTTCCAACGCCGTTCACCTGTTGTCCTCTTCATCTCGTGCCTCCATGGCCGACTCTGAGCGTCTCCAGGCTGCGGAAGGAAGCGAGCCGTCCATTTCTGTCAGGGAGGAGGCCAAGGTGGCAGCAATCGCTTGGAAGAACCGGCTTCTCGCTGAGGGTGGTGTTACTTTGGCAAGTGCGGTCGACGCCCTTGGCCTGGCTCTCTTTGTTGCCTCATTCGGCATCCCATCAGAATTTGACAGTGAGATCATTTACGATCTATTCCGGATGTGTAACATGAAGAAGAAGGCAGACATTCTCCTCCGGTCAGGAATCGTTGTGGAGAAGTTGCCTGGTATTTTCTGTTCCTTTTTGATTCATCTTGTGCATATTTCATTAATCTTTAGGTACAAAAAAGCTGAAACATGCAATGATCTGTGGATGCCTTTTAATAATATCTCCGGCCCTTTATTCGACAGGTGTTTGCTAATGAACTTCATAAGCCGTCCTTTTTTGGTTTACATTTTTGAACTTTTATTTATCCTTTTCTTGTATTGCTCAGATTGTATGTCGTCTTTCTGAAGGGATAAGAAGCACCATAGAAAATTGAACCCACCTTTGGTATTTATCATGTTTGTAATGAACAAAGAATTATTATTATAGTTCAACATATTCCTTTCTACAATCTCTCCTCTAATGCCTCTTCTTCATCAGCTGAGCAGTACTACATTTTATAGCCCATCGTAGGGACTCAGAACAACAACTTCATGCATCACGTTGCCGTGAAAAGAGTCTCATGCAATTTTTGGCGCTACCACATACTCAGTCAAACATCTTATCTGATAAAAAGTGTTGCCTTCATGAGATACACCCCTTCTTCCTCTCCTTTCAAATTGCCCAGATACTCACATCGAGGACAGTCACAAGAAATTTTGAACCCCCTTTCCACGTCCAATGATATGTCTCCCTTAAACATATGCCACCCGTCATTTTTTTTCATTATACTGGTATAAATAATTTACATTGTATAATTATGTGGCTATGTACATTTTTAACATTGTAGATGTGGTTAGGATATGGTATTCAATGCACGGCCTTGATTCTTCGTGCTTGAATCTGCCCAAGTCTGATATTTTGTGCAACTAATGACAACAATATCTGGAAATAAGGGACTACCAGTGGAAGTGGTTTTCTATTTATCAACTTTCTTGCATCATTTTGGAAGGAGGATCTGCCCTAATTGTTTGGCCAGGTGTCTCCAAGTGTCTCAATTCTCTTGCTTTTTTGAAACATGGGCTTATGTGCATTGATCAAACATTCATTGAATCAAGGAGAGCTCTCCATGTGCTTTATGGGCACATGGGACGCACTTTCAAGGGACAACATTCATTCTCTGCACACCCTGAACACATATTCGAAGCTGGTTTTGCTTTTTGATAAGGGTCAAAGAGACATAATTTCGGGGAAAGATTATGTCTCAATTGTATAATTGGAAGGCTCCAACGAATGAGCTGATTGATTTTCTGCCTCTGCGGTTTCATTATTTTAATCTAGGTGTTCTTTGTCCTGTGTCATGTTCTGTATACCACGTACTATCTTTCAATCAGCGATGCTAAAAAAACTCAACCTTGAATTACTTTTTTTGTTTCGTTTCAAAAAGCATTATTTTACATCTTTCATCTTTTCATATTGGGATATTTCTTTCTGTTTGACATGTAAAACATCAATTTTTTAGTCGTGTTTTCGTTATCGTGCAGTAGTCACCGTAGGCAAAAAATAAAATATAGTAGATCAGTTATGCAAATATCAAATTTATGAAGTCTGAATAAATTAAACTTTTAAGAACACATGTGGAGTGCTTTGCTCTCAGTCTATTTGCCATCTGGTGTCTCGAAGGATTGGAGAAAACCAAGAAATAACAGTGCGTGGTGTCTTTCACAAGCATCGAAATCCTCTGTGAGATCAAACAATCCATTGTCTTCAGTCATACTGTACGTACGATAGCTCTGCTGTGGCTGGGTTGTCATAGAGGATGCCTCCTGCTGTTGCTCAGGATTATCTCTTATAGCTTTTGGGGCCTATTTCTTCGCTCAAGATTTCTCTGACTTACTGAATGGAAGAAAAATGCAGATTAGTCCCAACCAAGATGGAAATATGCTCCTTTGATTGTAGGTTCATACCACACTGGATCAGACAAGACACAACTAATATTCATTCTCATAATGGGAACGGATACTTTGGGTGAATGTATATAGGTATTATATTATTTCGGGTCCCTGCATCATAATGTTTTATTGCTGCTTTATTTATGATTTTCTTCATTTCTCTTTCCTTTTTTCTTTACATTTCTACAATTTTCCTTGAATATGTTTCGGCTGTGGAAAATTTTACTGAGAAGATTATGCTTTGTCCCAATTTCCGAGGACTACCTTAGTCAACTGGAATATTGCAGTTTCTATTCTCCTATACTTTTCCATCTTCGTGGTCTGTATAAAGTTTTGTAGTTGTACTATGCTTTCTCGTTGTTATCTGGGCCTGTTATTGGTGCATCTTTTGGGCCCCAGAGCTATTTACAATTAGCCAATTAAGAATTCTCAGCTGATTATGGGTAAAGCATAGGCTTATTCTGCTAAAGGAATTTACAGCCAAGAGACTTTAGTTTGATATAGAATTATGTAATCTCATTGAAATCGCCTGAAAGTCAGCGTTAAACGGAAAATATGAACCGAATTTTTCGGATCAGTTAGGGAAAACTGTTTACTTGGGGGTGCGTTTGATAAAAAAGACAACTGAAGGGTGTGATCATTATTCTCAAGACGTGAGACGTGCACATCTTGTTCCTCTCTTAGAACATACGTGCTGTATTGAGTATTTTCTACCATGTCTAAGTGTTTAAGAAGCGCTGGAGTTGTGGGTTTTGTAAGCAATGTGTAAAGCTCCAGGCTCTGGTGTTTAGTCTCATACAATAACATTTACAAAACCATATATGAGATGTACAAAAAAAAAACAGCCCAGCGCTTGTATTGAAATAAAACCACATTAGCTTCATTCTCAAAAGCCAAGAACTTGGAATTATTCTGAGACCCTTCCTGATGTATCGGAAAAATTTAACCAATGCATTGGTTTTGGGAGGATTTTCCACAGAATATACGCTGTTGTTCTATTTCTATCTGGACTTTCATTGCAATGTTGACTTTTATGGTCTGGATTGGCAGTATTTGTCAATTGTTCATTTTGTGATTTAGCTGTCCTCTATCATCTACCATGTATTGAACCAATGTTTGGCCATTTTCCGTTATATCTTGTTTTAATTGTAGGGGCTCGAAATATCCCTGATCTTTTAGCTCTGGTATATGTTAATTTTTCCATCAAATGTTGAATAATTTTTCGGAGGTGGTTGTCTGTTTGGGGCAACATATTGATAGCCTGTAATTGTGGCATAGCCTGTGACTATCGATAAAGGAAGATAATCTCAACTTATGTCAAAATGTCCTTCGTTTGACATGGATAGGCTGATGATAAGTGGTGGTAGCACATACAGGCACCATTTAGGGGTGTTTTTACATATGAATTATTCAGGGTGTCTTGCAGTTTTGTAAGCTTCCACGAGGTGCTGATACAGGCACCATTTTTCTTTCTCTTTTCATTTTTTAAGAAACCTATTGATTTTTGGTGCTGCTGTGCAGATATCGTTCAAGATTTGGTGCAAAAAGAGAAATACATAGCAGCTGCTGACCTTGTTTGTGGCTTTGGTCTCCAAGAGAAGCATCTTCCTCTAGATTTGATATCATCTTTTTTGATCAAAACCAATACAGATGCAAATGAGGAAAGAAGAGAGGGACAATCTTCAATGAGATCACTGGTATGTGCCTAATTTATGGTACGGTTTTATTTCATTTCGAAGCCGAAATTTGCAAATAATCATCTGTCCAGAAGATGTCTTTTGAACTTGTTCGCTGTCCACCTTTTGTGGTGTTTCACTAAATGTAGTTGAATTCAGGCTCTTGTGAAATTAACATGTCGAATTTTGACCTTTCCCATAGAACTCTTTTATCCTATCCTTTATATTCTATGCCTATTTTATTTATTTTTTTCTGATGATTTTGATTCTCTGGGAGGGAGAGAGATATGTGGGATTGGCCTCAAGGGTTTTTATTTTATCGAAATGGTAGTCAGAATTTCTCAGACTAACATGGTGCTGGCTATCTTTCTGTGTAGAAGGATTTGATGTGCTTTTTCTGATATTATACTTGTACATGCTTTTTTTTGTTTTCAAGTCTCTAATGAATTGTTTGATACTACCCACCTCAGAAAATGGAAAATATAAAGTAATATTATTTAATTCAATACGAGAGATTATTGAAAGTAAGATTATCTAATCCAGCCAGCAGCCTAGGCTGTTCATGGCTTATAGTGGTCTGCATCGAAGGTACTATTTATGATGGTGAGAGGCGTTCCCCGCTTGCATCTTCTTAATATTTATCATGTTAGTGGGTGACGAAATCGCTTCTCCTGAATTTCTATTATGAGTATGACCGCAAGGGAACTTTTTGTCCTGGATTTCTTTGTATGAATTGGTTGAAAATTTTTGAGCAGCCGTCTCAATTTGTCAGTGTTGGACACAGTTAAATGCGCTAAGTTCTTCACGATTTTGAACAAAAAGTGCATGATGCTTGAACGCCGGAATTAGAAACTTTTTCAACAAGTGAGAGACGCGCGATCACACGACTATTTACTCACAAAAAGCCCATGATGTTAGTTATCTTTGAATTTATCTATCTCCACACACGGCTATTTTACATGTATGTTCATGTCTGTTTGCCTGTGTAGCAGGATTCTCGCTTCTTTTTCCTCATGTATTGTTTCCAACCGCTCCTCTCGTCACATGCCCATGTCAGCCCTTGACCCTTGTGTCTATATCCTCTGGATCGCCGCCACCTGTCTGAGCCATGGCTAAGATGTACTGGGTCTATAAGCCACCAGCGTTAGGCTCTTATTGCATATGTTTGACCGTCCCCAGCATGGCTGACTGGTGAGACTTTGGGTCAACCGTCCCTGGATCTCTCACCTACTTTCTGTGCATTTAGAGTCTGTTGACGTTGCCACCATCATCTGCTGCATGTAATGGAGATGTTCCCTCCGAAGAGTGAAGATCTAGGCGCAATTGCCTAGTTTTTAGGCGGTCAAGATGCATTATTGTGCAAATTAAGTACCCGTCGTAGTTTAAAATCTTTTGGACTCTCTTATATTTTGATTATATCGCTCATTTTCTATACCTTTTTATTTTATCTTTATGTTCTATGACAGAGAGAGACGACTGCGAACCAGCTGGCTGCGTACAAGTCCGTAGTCAAATGCCTGGAGGAGCACAAGCTCGACGCGTCGTCCCTTGCCAATTTCAGGATCGAAGGGAACATCTCAAAGCTGGAGAGAGAGCTTGTGAAGCTCGAGAAGAAGTTGAGAGAGAAGATGGTGAAGAGGAAGGCCGAGGGGTTGGAGCAGGTGGGCGAGATGAAGGCGACCCCTCAGATGATGAAGCGGCAGTTCCTGGCCCCAGTGGAGCTGCCCCCCAACCGAGCCCCGACTCTCCCCCAGGACCACGGCATGGGCTTGCCCATCATGCCCAGTGACCTGTACGACGGCTTCAGCAACAGAGGGGTCGACACTACCTTTGGCTCCACAGCGGGCTTCTACAGTGGAGGAGGAGGTGGTGGATACTCGTCAATCGGGGGAGGAAACGGCATCCAGTCGTACCATCAAAGGTGGTATCCTGGAGGAGCATCCGGGGACAACCACCTCGGGCACGAGTATGCAGGTAGGTTGGGGGGGCCCTCGGCGCACAGAGGCCCGACGGCGCCGCCGCTGCCCCCACAACGGCAACTGGCGGATCCGTTGCTGCTGGCCTCGTCATCACCTGGAATGATGGGAAGCCGAGCCGGCGGCTCCAGCATTTATGGATTTGGCGACAACTTTGTGGAGAACGAGCTGTACTATCGCACAGCCAGAAGCAGCGGTCAGTCGAATCCCACGGCTGGATACCACCCCTCGCCCTACTGATCAGCTTCGACGTTGTTGACTAATGCGGAGACAGCTTGTAGGAATGCGCTTGCCTCCCGCCGGGGGGAGAAGATGTGTATTAATTAACATTACATGAATGTCCGGGCGGTTTCATGGGAATCAAGAGCCGCTAGATTTTTATTGTTCATTTAATCATCATGTTTTGACTAATGGCGAATTGACCAGCGGTTATCTCTGCTTCTCTCTCTCTCTCTCCGTTTCTTACTCTTACTGAGGTGGTCCGATGAGACTTGGCGAACCAGTCGAGGTCAAGCTCTTGACATGGACATATATATATGGATGTAAAGCTATTGACGTAATGCGGACATGTTAGAAGAGAATGGTACAAGTGAAACCAAATTCAGAGAGCCTATACTTCGTCACATTAAATCACAGAGCGCGCGAGAGAGAGAGAGAGAGAAAGAGAGGAAGAGAGGGAGGGAGAGAGAGAGAGAGACAGGCAGACAGAGAGGGCCAGTGCCCATTCATGGCCTGCGCTTTACCTGGTAACTCCTGTAGAGGAAAGGATATGAGTGCTGCTGGTGGAGGCGGGTAGTAAATTTGAAGGATCACCGTCTCCCCCACTGTTGACTGCCGGTGCACCGACGTCTCCGCCGCAAGCATCGGGCGGCACGTTGGGAATGATGGAGGCGGCAGACCACGACGTCTCGGCCAGTGTACGGTACTCCTCCCCTCCTTGAAAGAAGAGGTCGCCTCCGTAGAGCTCGTTCTGGTGGTACATCATCTCATTGCACATCATGCTGCCGTCGCCGCCGGCGGGGAGATGGTGCAGAGGGAAGTTGTATCCCGGGTGCTCGAATGGGAGAGCATTCAAGTGCTCCATGCCGCTGCCGAGAGAGGTGTCGCGGCAGAAGGACAGAGGAAAAGTCATCGACGGATCGAAGACGTCCTCGGCGGCGGCGGAGGTGCCGGCGGAGGGGTAAGGGGGCAAGTCAGCGGAGAGGAGGTCGTCGAGAAATCTCATGTCGGCGCCGAAACCGTGGTCGTCCGAAATCATCAGCGACTGCACGTAAGGGTCCGCCAGCGAGTGTGTGGCGAGTCCGCTGGGCGTCATCTCCGGGTCTCTCTGGTGGCCGTGGGGAGTACCCCAGAGTTCTCTTCCTCCGAATCTCTCGGGCTTGAGCTTGTGAAAATCTTCAATGACGCCTTGAAGGGGCCCTTGCGGATCGACGAAGATCGCATTCAGGGGAACGATATCCGTGGGGGGCACGGCTTCCAGTGCCTGCAAGTGCTGGCCCCAGCAGGCCTCCAGGTCCTTCCCTCTACTCTCTTCCTCCTCTTCGAGTTCCACTTGGTATATTTTCTCCTCTATCGCCGCCAGCTTCTCGTCGAGAGAGCGAAGTAGATCCTCTAGCGAGTCCGCCGCTGGCAAGGCGTCCAGCCAGGAGTTGCGCTCGCGGTTGACCTGCGCCTGCAGCCTCTTGAAATGAGCCTCGAAGAAGGTGGTGAGGTCGTACCGGCGCTTGATGCAGTCGTCTGGGTTGAGGCTCGCGTAGTGCTCGATGATGCGGCGCACCTCCTGCCGGTCTTCGGGCCAGGTCTCGAGCTGGCCGCGGGGACCGAAGCAGACGAGCAGCGTTACGATGTCGCAGAGCTTGCCCAGCTCCATGGCCTTCTTTTTTATCACCGCCCTCCTCTTCATGAACGTCGTGTTCCGGTGCTTCTCGCCCTCGATCAGTCTGAGGGGCATCTTGATGCGCACCATCGTACAGCGAGACTATCGTCTTCAATCTAAACAATGCAGGAACACGAACATACCGTTAACCACATCCCAAAGCAGGTTGGGGAGGACGCAAGAAGAGGACGCAAGAAGAAGAGAGTGGTGCAGCGAACCGGAGTCTCACGGCGGCGTTTTGAGGAGCTGGCCAGTGCAACTCCACAGTTGCCGTCTTCATCCGACGACGAAGCAGCTAGGAGAGCAGGCGTGAGGGCGCGGGACAGCCTCCTCTGCAGCCGCATTCACCCGCCCTCGCCGGAGCGATCGAGGCAGCTACCAAGGAGAAAGAGAAGAAAAAGGAAACTTCTTGATTTGCTACCGGCCACCTCCCCGGGGCAGCGAGATACGGGTTTCCTTGTCTCGTCCTGTTTCCCTCCCTCCCAACGACAAAACAGGAAAGGTCTTGTTCCCTTTCCTGGCTGCGGTGTCCTGTCCGCCCTTCTCGTGGGCGAGGCCGAGACAGCCGCCGTCGAGGTCTTTCTTTCCGCTGGTAATGCATTTCAAGAAAATTCGAATTGGCCCTTCATAGGCATATACCAACGCCAAGGATTACTCCTCTGAGATCATCATGATGTTGGTGTGGATTAATTAAAGAAGATGAAAAATTTTAGTAGGCGGAGAAAGCCACGAAGCAGATCATCAGGCTGGATCCACTGCATTTATTAGGGCAGTTAGAGTGATTATGATTGACCACCATGGATAATAAAAAGTCTCAGTTTCAAAATTCATCGAACTGTTCCTCGGGCCTTTAATAAAAATACCATCTTGTTTCTCTTTAACTGGTCTGGGGAAAACCCTGATAAAACTTACATACTCGCAATACTCGCAGAAGTATTCGATTTTTTAAATCACCAACCGTTCATTCAAGTTGAATCTCTTAGTGTAAGACCAGATTCCATCCTTGTACTTGTCTAACACTGTTTAGTTTCAGCGTGTGAGCTTTCGTGTGCTCCTCTGACTATTGGTGATGAAATAGTTAGCCACGTGCAGCGGTCTAGCGGACAGATCGAAGGGTAGGTTCTGCACGTGTAAATATTTTTGTGGACTTTCTTTAATTTTACAAGTTTATCTCAAGAGATCATGAACGAGCTAAAGCACATATCGTTGAAGCCTCCCCTGATAACAGATTGTTTATACACGTTTCACATAAGATCTTTTCCATAAACAACCATATACTAGGGCAACTAATCGACGATTATGTATATATGTGACCATAATCTTTGTCAAAAATTCTCTTGTTCAATTTCACAAATTTATGATTAACATGTATGAATCTACTTTATTGATGGCAATGTTTAATTTTTATTTTTCTCTTGAGTGTAAATATCCTGAAGATATTGAGAGATCTTTTACAATATATCCCATGTTCTACTTATACCTCAAGGGCATTAAATTTCCCACGTCGGGGGTACGACTTGAGCGGTAAAGTATTCATTATCATTTTAGAACACTAGATAACAAGTAACTTCAAATATAACGTCAAATGTTTGAAATGTGCTTACGCAATAATGGTCTTTGAAGAGCTTGAAAAATAGCAAATCTTCATGGTTTTCAAGGTTACAGCAATCTGATGTTAACTCCTTGGAAGAGGGTGATGGATTTTTATGCTCTTTTGGGTTTTCCTTAAAAATTTCCTGCTAGTTCTTCTCACACTCTCACATCTCGTGCTTGAAATTTAGAACTCCATAAATACTAATTAATATCCTAAATTTCATAGAATATCAATCTATTTGAATTTGATTGTCCAGTTCTTTGCATTATGCTCTTCTTCTAGAAAGATTTTCAATGAATATTTCACATATATATATATATATATGTGTGTGTGTGTGACATAATTTTCATCAAGTTAAGCATAAATAATGATTACTTATCCTTCAGGGTAATTTCTTTAAGAAATCAAATTGCAATTTTAGTCATCTCTTCTATCAATTTCTGTTTAAAGGATAAACGACATTTATAGTGAGTGATGTGTATTCCTGTTAACATTAATCTAAATGACATGTATTTCTGCAGTAAGTGTCTGGCTATCAAAATGATGTCAATCTAAATGCAAAGAAATGAACTACAAGTATAGTTATTTCTCTTCTACCATTGACCTAGTTCAACTTTGAGTTTATAAATATTTCTCAACATAAATCAATCAAGGCTATTCTACCATTGTGAAGGTACTAAAATACCCTTGTATGTACATTGTCATCATAAAAACTACTAAGATTCCACTAAATCTTTAGTGAAGTATGTCAAACATCATGGCCTCAACACTCTATCCATTAAACAATAGAACTATCGTAAACCTCAATTGAACACATAGGTCTCAACAATACTATATTTGATTTATCAACTCCATGAAACCAAGAATATATAGATGTCTTCAAAAAAAATCTTAAATCATTTTATGTTTTATTTTACTTGCTTAAATATTTGGAGGCACTTAATGTGCTATTGAGTTTTTTATCACATGAGGGGTGTCCAAATTTCCTTTTTTTATGGCACTTGAAATATAAATTTTTCATGTGAACTCAATGGATGATATAGAAAGTGTTGTGACTCACTTCCTATTTCTCTTTTCTATCACTTCTTTGTAATGTTGGCTAATATGTCCCATTCATATAGTGTGCATTAGCGTGTCACATGATCATTTGGAACAAGAAGAAATCAAACTATTTTTCATCACTTTTGAGTTAAAATTTAACCTTCATAAAATAATTTTAATCTTATCAAATGCATTGTAGATAAAAATATTTTAATTTCACGCTGCTTGCTGCATTATGTTTGCGTTGATCCAAAGTGGGCTGAGTAAACTACTAATAGGGGAGATGAATTGCTTCTTTGAAGTGTTTTTTTACTGATTTATTTTATTAAGTTGTCACCTTTTAGTTCCACATTGAGTGGGTATAAACATACTATGTTGAATCAACAATCCTCACTTGAAAATCTAGCCATTCACTTTAAAATTTAAGAGTATCATATGCTTCAAGATTAGAGGGAAGATTAAAAATTTCAAAAATAGTTGATTAAACTCAAGATTATTAATTGATCAATTTAACTCTCTTTCTTTACCTTAATATGACCTAAAATCTAAAAAATAGTTTTAGAGGCTACCTCTACATGTAAGAAATATATTTTTTTAAGTTGGTCCAATGGCCAACTATTACATCTCAAATGTGATTTCTATAATAAGGCATCAGCACATACACATACATGCACCTAAGTGTATGGTTGAGTACATGAGTTTATAGAAGAAGAGGAGAAAGAAAAAGAGGAAAAAAGTAGAGATCGTTGAGGAAGAATAAGGAAATGGAGAGAATAAGTTTATAATGAGTTTGATGGGCCTAGTGGACCTATTCTAACACTCCCTCTTAATTTGAAACATACAAGTCAAACATATTTAACTTGGTGCATGTCATGTCGTAGGAGATCCCTACAATACTCTTAGTAAAGATGTCCACGAGCTGATGAGATGAGACAATGTGCGAAATAGAGATAACACTTGACAGTATTTTATTCTAGACATAATGGCAGTCAATTTTGATGTGTTTTGTCTGTTCATAAAATATAAGATTCTCAGCAATAAAGATGACAACCTAATTATCACAGTAACATAGATATTGATGTATGAGATGAGATGTCAAGTTCTTCAATAAATGAACTTAGTCACACCATCTCTCATGCGGTCTCAATTATGACGTGATACTCAAACTCAACACTAGAACAAGATATCACCTTCTATTTTCAAGAGCACCACGTGACAAAATTATTATCTACATTTGTGTAATAACTAGTGGTGGACTTGTAATCTTTCTTGTCACCAATATATCATGCATCCAAATAAGTTTTAATCTGAATATATCAATATCTTTGATAGATAAGCCCTCTCTCAAGAGCTCTTTTGATGTATGTCAAAACCTATAAAGTTCTCTCTTAGTGAACTTGTTGAGGTTCTTACATAAATTGACTAAAGATATTGTGTACATGATGTTGAGGTGAGTGACAGTAAAGTAGATCATCTTCCCCAACAACTATCTATACCAATTAGCATCTTCTAAGAATGGAGACGACATATCTCAAAAGTATAGACACACTTCTATAGGTGATGACTCTAGCTTGCACTCAAGTAACCTAGTCTTATGAAGCAAATCAAGATCATACTTTTACTAAGAGAAAGCAAGTTTGTCATCTAATAAGCAAACTCAATCCCAAGTATCGTGAAATTTTCAGATCTCATATATTGAAGTATTATTGTAGGTATAATTTGGTAGTTTAGATGCTTGCTTCATCACTTTATAATGAATTCAGTAGTCTTTGTAAGCACCTTAAGATCCACAAGATATAATGAGAATCCAAATTGTGTTAGAAGATTACTAAAATTGATGAACCAAGTACATGAATCTTACTTAAGTTCATTAATGACGTGTTACGAAAGACACTTTCAATGACTCTCCCTGAACAACATATCTAGGAGGCTGCTTTATAAACATATATTTCTCAAGATCATCATAGATAAAGATATTAGAAACATTCAACTGATGTAAAGACCATTCCTAATTCACTACTAAATAAAGTATCACTATAATAGAGTTAAGTCGAACCACTCAAAAGAACATCTTAGTGTAGTCAATGTCATAGGGTTGTGTAAATCTACGAATAATTAATTGAGCCTTGTGACATACAATAAATTCGTTTAAATTATACTTGAGTGTGAAAACCGACTTACATGTGACGATGTTGACATCACGTGAACGAGATACAAGTGTCCAAATTCTCCAAGACACCAAAGCATCTACCTTCAAGTTTTTGATTGTCTTCTATTCAATACTTGTGCAGCCTCTACATACGACCATGGAATTGACTCAAAGGCCACTGAAAAGATAAACGTACTAAGGTACAATAAAAATAAATAAATATAATAAAGTAAAGAATTGTTCAACAACATAAAGAATATTTGGGGTAATAGATAGAGAATACTCAAGTAATGATACTAATAGATA